TTGTTCTTATGAATTTTATCTTGTGTTTTTTAATCCTTTACTAACATCTTAGTGAAGTTTAGGGGGTAAATGCATACTTAATACACACATTTTAGCCATCTATCATCAAACTTTCCCAGAAATGTCTCTCTCATTATGACCACTACAGTGTAGCATGTAGATTGAGTTTAAATCTGCCATCATTTCATTGCTTATTTGTTCTACCTTTACTATGTTTCTTTTTTCTCTTGTCTTCTGACTTATTCCTTTTTCCTCTGTTTGTGAAATATTCTTTTTTTGTTGTTGTTCTCTTCATGATCAGTCTAAAAATTACAGTCCTAGCTGGTTTGGCTCAGTGAATAGAATGTTGGCCTGCGGACTGAAAGGTCCAGGGTTTGATTCCAGTCCAGGATACATGCTGGGATTGTGTACTCGATCCTCACTCAGTAGATGTGCAAGAGGCAGCTGATCAATGATTCTCTCTCATCATTGATGTTTCTCTCTCTCTCTTCCTCTCTAAAATCAATAAAAATATATTTTATTTATTTTTTTAATAACTTAATCAAGCAATTTAAGTTTATTTTTTATATATATATTTTATTGATTTTTTACAGAGAGGAAGGGAGAGAGATAGAGAGCCAGAAACGTCGATGAGAGAGAAACATCGATCAGCTGCCTCTTGCACATCCCCTACTGGGGATGTGCCCGCAGCCAACGTACATGCCCTTGACCGGAATCGAACCCGGGACCCTTCAGTCCGCAGACCGACGCTCTACCACTGAGCCAAACCGGTTTCGGCTAAAAATATATTTTAAAAAATTACAATAGGTATGCTCTTATCAACTTAACTGTGGTATAATTTATATAAAACAAATTATATATATATGTATATGTATATGTATATATATATATGCTATCCAGTACATCAATGACAGATGTATATACCTTTTGCTTCTCCATACCAAAGTCAACTGACAGAATTTTTCCATCATCCGAAAAGTTCCCTCATGACCCTTCAGCCAGTCCTCTCCTCCACACCTCCAGACAACCACCAATCTGTTTCCTGTCACTATAGTTTGCATTTTCAAGAATTTCATAGAAATGGAATCACAGATTATGTTACAACAGGTATTGTTGACTAATCTACAGCTAATGTTATCCCTAGAACTTTACCCTTTTCCCAGACAATGCAAGGATCTTAAAATACATTAATCCTATAGTTCTCTTATTATCCTCTAATCCACCACTTCAATATGCAGGATTCTCCAAAGAAACATCTGTTATAGATAAAATGTGTAGACTGAGCATTCACTTAACTCTCAATCTTCATGATATCTATAATGCAGATATTTATTATCAGAATTGATTCAAGCACTCTTGGAGGCCATGAAGTTCTATGGCCTGTCTGCATGCTGGAGGACCAGGAAAGGAGCTGGCATAATTTAGTCCAAGTCTAAAGGCCTGGGAACCAGACACACAAATGTCCAAGAGCAGAAGATGGGTGTTGCTGCTCAGAGAGCAAATGCAAAATCTCTTCTACTTTTTGTCCTAGTCAGGCCCTCAGTGGATTGAATGATGCATTGATGAGAGCCATCTTCTTTACTCCATTTACCCAAGCAAATGCTAGTCTCTTCCTGAAACACCCTCACAGACACATCCAGAAGTATTTTACTAGCTATCTGGGTAACTCCTAGGCCAGTCAAGTTGGAACATAAAATTAACCATCACACATCTGAATCACCTAGCTAAGGGAATCTTCTTAAAATGCAAGTTCTGTTTTGGGAGGTGTTAGTGTTTTTGTGCATTTTCTCTCTCTTTAGTCAAATTATACCACATAGATGGCTACTTAGAAGGTTGGTCCTTTTGATAAAACATGAAAATTACTTACCTTATGGTGTAACTTCACTCGTGATTGAGCTTAGGATTTAATAGAAGTGCTAATTATTTTTTAAAATATATTTTATTGATTTTTTACACAGAGGAGTAGTGTTAGAGATATCTATGAGAGAGAAACATCAATCAGCTACCTCCTACACAACTCCTTCTGGGGATGTACATGCCCTTTACCAGGAATCGAACTGGGACCCTTCAGTCCACAGGCTGACGCTCTATCCACCGAGCCAAACTGGCTAGGGCAGAAGTGCTAATTAAAAGTTGAAATGAAAAGACTTCAACTCAGTTTGAATAATTTACACTTGCCACTATTTACTTTCAGGCTTGTGGTATGTTCTAGCTAGAATACAAGTCCAAAGAGGATAATGCAAGCCATGCTAGATGGATAATATAAACCATGTTGTATCTCGCTCTCTTGCCTGGCTAGATCTCCAAAAGTCATCTGTGACATGTCCCTTTGCATCCAGTTCACTACCCAACAGCCCCATGCTCTGATTTTCCTTTTTCATGCTTTTCTCTCACATCTCCCATTTGCAGGGGGTTGGCGGGGGGAGGTAGGGGAGAGGATCTCACTGTTCCCTGAATCTACCTTAAATGATGTTATACCTTTCTCTGCTCATGCTGGATCATCTAGCTCTAGGAGGGTGTGTGTGTGTGTTTCCCCCCCAGAAAACTTTAGGCAACTGCCCCCAACTGACCCCTCAGAGGTTTCTTGCCTCGGTAAACTAAGGTAATAGCAAAGCATTGACAAAGATATAATGGGATGCTAATAATAATAAATTTTTAAACGGGTAAGGGGGGTGGTACTTTTTGTATTCATGTTTCCACTTTAGTTCTAAATGGCAAAACATTCTCCTATTTCAATTTAAGTTAGTTTCTACTTAGAAATGCAGGATTTTAGAACTACTATTTGGAATCAAAGGTCAGTGCATCTGGTAATTGAACATAATAATTGTAAGGTTTACTGGAAAGGCCAGGGACTGGTGAATTTAAACTCTTTAAAATAGATAAAGATTAAAGTGTGTTAAATTTAGTGCCTGTGGGATTTTTGATGTTCCAAATTTGTTTTTAATAACATAATTGTCACATGTTACACTTAAGATTACATCACAGTGAACTGGTTATTTGTGCAGTTACTCTATTAGAAAACAATCTCAAATGTCAAAAATAAAAGTAAGGACAACTGTAATGTTATAATAAGAAAATGGAACTTGGAAATGGAAGAAAAACACTCAGGTTGAATGTCTTTCTATGAAACCTTTTAATAGAAAAACCTAGAAATTATATGTATTAGGTTAACTTGATGCTTTTACAATAGCACTAAAATAATTATTTTACTTACTGTTACAAATGGAAACCAATGAATTTTTTCTCAAGGTATTTATTAATTTTAGTGGAAAAAATATAACCCCCAATCACACAAATGGAATTGTGTTAAGTACAATTTGAGAAAACCCATCAAGAAATGTTATTAACCATATGTATAAATTGTATATTTCACATTTTAAAAGAATAAGAAATAAAATTCAGTTTCCTTGTTTGCACTAGTCTTTCGTTTTTTGTTTTTTTTAAACTAAAAGTAATTGTAATATTCTCTTGCCTCTAGGGCTTTCCCTTCACAATTAATCCTTTCTTCCACACCTTCCCTCGCAATGATTATTCCCTTTGGCCTCAGAACACATTAATTCACAGTATTCTTCAGTTTTCAAAACACTGCCCTGCCCGGGCTTAGCTCCTCAAACCACTCCCTTTTATAAAAAATTGGTTAACCGAAGCATTTTGGCTATCACCACCAGAAAGAGCTACCACCTACCTTATCAGGAAAACATCTTGGTGATACAAATTAGCTCCCTTTTATCAAATTCGAAACACAATGTATTTAAATCCCTTAGGATAATGGGCGACTAAAAACTTCAGAAGGAGCAATACCTTTCAGCCCAAACCCTGGGAAGACTGGGTCCTGAGACTTCGTAAAAACCTGACTACAGTGGGTGTCCTGGATCACAGAACCCGCCAGAACTTGTGAAAACCTCCCCACCGGCGTGGGCAGAGGAGACACTTTCAAAATGTGTCATTCATCTTGACTTGCAGAGGCAGCTCACCCACCGGTCCGCTATAAACACCAGCAAAGGCTGGGGCTGCAGACTTCGGTCCTAGGAGGTACGCTTTCCCACTTACAGGTAACGGGGGTGGCAGAGGGGCCGGCTTCTCAAAGTTACCCAAACACAGCCGGCGGGATCGCACCTGGAAGCCCGGCCCCAAGTTGCCTTCGGCCGGCATCTCCCGGGGAGCCGCTGTCGCATGAATGAATCGACTAGCCCGGCCGGGTTTCCCGTCCTCTGCGCTGCGCGGGCTCCGGGCGGCCCCGGAGGTGGACAAACTTTCCTGTTTCCCCCCTTGGAGCAGAGAGGAGGGTTCTCGCGGGGAGCCGGGCGCGCACCTGTCCACCCCAGGGCTGGCCTGCTGTCCCCCGGGGGAGGACCGACGTGCGAGATCAGTGTCCTCCCGATTTGGGGGGGGGTGGGGGGATCGGCGACTTCCTGGAGAGCAGGCACCTGCACCCCAAACTACAGACCAGTTTTGACTCCACTGCCCTGGCGTAACCTTTGGGGGGGCCCTCGAGCTCCGCGGGGGGGGGGTGCTGCCCCAAAACTGAGCCCCCCCCCCCCCCGGCACAGGGGAGGGGAGGCTGACGAGAGTTCGGGGCCCCCGTCGTTCCCGGGGAGACCCGATGTCCCAGCGCCCCGGCCGGGCTCGCCGCGCGGCTGGGCCTGGGAGGCGCGGCGCACCCCCGCCCGCTCCGCGCCGCCGCCCGCCCCGCACCGCCACCGCGAGGCCGCGCCGGGGACCGAGCCCGGGCGGCGGCTCCGCGCTCCCCTCCGCGCCGCCCCCGCCGCGGGCGGGGGACATCTCCCCGTCCCCCTCTTTCGCGCTCTCGCTCCCGTTCAGCGGGAGAGCCCGCCGAGCCGGGGAGGGAGCGAGGGAAGGGGTGGAGGTGGCGGGGGGAGGCCGGAGGGGCGGATCCTGCCTGGGGGCTGATCCCTCCCTCCCCTCGGCCGGGCTCCGTGGCGGCGGCGGCGGCGGCGGCAGCGGCGGCTCCATTCCCCCTCCTCCCCCGGGAGCGGCGGCGGCGGCCGGGCTGGGGCCCAGCGCGGGCCGGGCGGGGGCACGCGGAGGCCGGCGCGGGAGGAGGCCGCGCTCCGCTTCCCGGGCCGCCCGTCCTGCTCCACGGCCGGCCGGCCCGCGCCCAGGATCCCCGAACGTTGGGGCCGGGCCGGTGGCTGAGGTAATGGGGGCGGCAGCGGGGCCAGACGGAGCGGGGGCGGGCGCGGGGGCGGCGGGGCCTACGGGGACCCGGGGCTGCGCGGGGGCGGGAGGGGAGCGGGGGGCTTTCCGAGCAGGGCGCGGGCGGGTGAAGCCCTCTCCCGGATCGGGGACGGCGGCGGGGGACAGGCAGGCGGGCGAGGGGGGAGCAGAGAAGCGAGGACCCCCTCCCGCAGCCGCCATCTTGTTTTCCCCCGGCCCTGGAAGCGGAGCGCCCGAGCCCCGCCCCCGCCTCGCTCTCCGATTGGCCAGGCCTGAGGGGAGTCCCGCCCCCTGAGCGGCCCTGGGCGCTCCGGTTTCCCCTAAGCGGCAGGTGAGGCAGCCAATGGGGGCTCGCCTCTGCGCCGCTGTGTCCCCGGTGCCAGCTCTCGGTCCGAGGGTCACACTCGCGTCAGTCCGCCTGGCGCGCTCGCCCCCTCCTCCGCGGAGAGGCGATATATGTCCCCCCTTCTCCTCTGAGGAGTCAAGCAAGCTCCTCCTGGAAATGGTGCCCCTTTGTAGGGGCAGAAGCCTTGGCTGCGGTCCTCGTCTCACGAGGACCTCCTGAGGGGCGCAGGGGTACAGTCTTCTTGCAGAAACCCCTCATTCCCTGGGACCTGGGTGGCGTGGGCCATGGGGTCCCAGGAGATGTCGGGAAGACCGCTGGGGCTGTTAGAGATACTTGGAGGTGTGGCTGTGGGGAGGGTTGTGTGGGATGAGAAACTCCCGCCAAAAAACGACTGTAAGCTCCTTGTGGGCGAAACTCACCTCCTTCTCCTCAGCGGCAGCCCTCTCCCCTCAGTCTGCCCCTCGGGCTCCAGAAGCTGGCGGGGGACGGAAGAGGTCTCCCTACCGCCTGGCGGGGAGGTTCCTGAGCTGCTGGGAGGTAGGAGGGAGGGAGGGGGAAGGGGGAAGGGGGAAGGTAGAGTTGCATCGGAGGGGCCACAGCCTCTTTAAACTGTTGGAAGCTAGCGATGAGGTGGATGCCCGCGCCCGCCTAGGGGTCTCCAGGCCAGGGGAGGAGGCCGTCCGCCGGGCCCTTGGCCCAGGCTGCCCCCAGGGAGTTGGCATTTATCAGGCATGTAGCGGCCAAGGGCCTCTGGAGTCCGGACAGATGTGATGCTTGTTTGCTTTGGCTCCAGGTAGGCTGTGTGCCTGCCTGCCTGGCGGTGTTCGTTTTTTTAATGCTTCAGTCACACTGTGGGATTGGAAGACCTTATTTTATTATTTTTTAAGTATATATTTCAAAGAGAAGGGGGAGAGAGAAACATCAATGATGAGAGAGAATCATTGATTGGCTGCCTCCTGCTTGCCCCACACTGGGGATCGAGCCCACAACCGGGGCATGTGCCCTGACTGGTATCGAACCTGGACCCTTCCGTCTGGAGGCCTCCGCTCTATCCACTGAGCCAAACCGGCTCAGGGCGTGGAAGGCCTTTTTTAAACGAGGATCTTAATACCTTACTAACGAATAGCAGCCCTTAAGAGGTAGATGTTACTGTTTTTGTTTTATTGATGGAGTATAGAGGCCCAGAGAGATTAAGTGACTTTTTTCTGGTCATCGAGGGGCAAGATTAGAGCCTTTTTTTTTTTTTTTTTTTTTTTTACCAGACCAGGCACCTCTGTGGTGTTCTACCTCCTAGTAAGTCAGAAGATAAGGTGAGCAGGTCAAAGATCTGGGTTTGAATTGTAGCTTTATCACTTGGGTTGAGTGACATCTTTCAGATATCTCCATCTGTAAAATGCCTCCCAAATTGGTTGTGAGAAATATTAAAAGTGAAAGGGCCTTGTCATCTCTGCTTTATAGATAGGGATGGTAGGTCCTTCCACCAAGGTGACAAACTGTTTTTCTCTTTGAAATCCTGTCCCTGTTCATACCCTTTCAAATCACCCTCACCCCAGGCATATCCCCAGAGATCTTTCCTGTAAGTGATGGCCTCACTGACTGCTTGCCACAGGCCCTTTGAGCTTGACATCGTTCCCTCTTTCCAGAGAACGATGTAGAAGACTTTAGGGCTCTCTCTTGGCTGCACAGGGTAGGCTAGATATAAGTGTTTTGGAAACAGAATGCATTGAGAGTTTACCTCAGATATTGCCCCAGGAACCTTAGCCTTAGGTCTAGTGAAGGGCCCAGGTAGCTCAGCTTACAGCTTCAGTGCCACTTGGGGCCACTTCCAGAGCTTCTCTCTAATGTACTAGCCAGTGCATCCTGAATGCTGCCTTTTGCAGATAAAACCCTGAAGACTGTAGTTTGAAATCTTTAGACTACATGAGATAGACATTTCATGTGCCTTCACCCCTTCATCCCTGGGCAGGGGCAGGGGATAGGGTTTCTGATCATAGTAATGTGAGTTGTTCATCCTTGGATGGGACTGTGCATGTTCAGAGCTTGAAAATGTATGTAGTTCTTGTTTTCTGAAGTCATAACTGCCCCTACTTTTCCATAGATAGCTGTCCCACAGCCTTATGTTGCATTGTAATGAACTATTTACTTTTCTGTCCCTTCAGTCAGACAGAGCTTCTAGAAGGCAGAGATCGTGCATGTTTGATTTCTCCTTTTGTTCAGCTATTATTCAGGAGCCAGGCACCATTCCAGGCGCTGGGGATATAGTGAACAAGACAGGCAAAAATCCCTCCCCTCATGGAGCTTACATCTAGTGGGAGGAAGCAAACATCTATACTAGGGGTAATAAAAGGGTAATATGCTGATTAGACCAGGAGACCTTCCAGACAAAGCCATGGTGGTGGGGCCAAGGCAGAGGTGGTTAGGGGTGATCAGGCCAGAAGGGGAGGACAGTTGGGGGTTATCAGGTTGGCTGAGGGTCAGTGGTGGGTAAGTAGGGGGCAGTTGGGGGTTATCAGTCTGGCAGGGAGGCATTTGGGGGCAAGCAGGCCAGCAAGGAGGGCAGTTGGAAGTGATCAGGCCAGCAGGCAGGCAGGTGAGAGCAGTTAGGAGCCAGCGGTCCCGGATTGCAAGAGGGTGCAGGCTGGGCTGAGGGATACCCCCATGTGCATGAATTTCATGCACCAGGCCACTAGTACATGATAAAGAGGTAAATTCCATAGCATAGTAAAAGATGCTGAGTGGTATAGTGAAAAATAAAGCAGAATGAAAGGTTGTGGTAGAAAAGAGGGATTTGCAGTTAAACACACACACACACACACACACACGTATTTTTATTGGTTTCAGAGAAGAAGGGAGAGGGAGAGATTGAAACATCAATGATAAGAGAACATCATTGATTGGCTGCACCTCCCCTACTGAAGATCGAGCCCCCAACCTGGGCAGGTGCCCCTGACTGAAATTGAGCCCAGGACCCTTCAGTCTGCAGGCTGACACTCTATCCACTAAGCCAAACTGGCTAGGGCTGGATTTGCAATTTTAGGGAGCATGGTCAGGGAATTCTCACTGAGCATCATGTTTTCGGAAAGACTTGAAGGAGGTGAAGAAGTAAACCATGGGGACATCTAAGGGACAGAGCAGTGTTTAGACAGAAGGAGTATTCAGTCCTCTTTCTTGGCCGCTTGGTCAGGTGGGAGGGTGAATGAGTGCATCCACCTCACAGTCTCCTTGACTTCTCTCCTTAGGCCTGTCCCCCTGTTTCCCAGGTGCCATGAGGAAGCCTCGCCAGAAGTCACGGCAGAATGCCGAGGGCCGGCGCTCCCCATCCCCCTACAGTCTCAAGTGCTCACCTACTCGGGAGACCCTGACATATGCCCAGGCCCAGCGAATTGTCGAAGTGGACATTGATGGACGCCTGCATCGTATCAGCATCTATGACCCACTCAAGATCATCACGGAGGATGAGCTGACTGCCCAGGATATCACTGAATGTAATAGTAACAAGGAAAACAGCGAGCAGCCTCAGTTCCCTGGCAAGTCCAAAAAACCCTCATCCAAGGGCAAGAAGAAAGAGTCCTGCTCCAAGCATGCATCCGGCACTTCCTTCCACCTCCCGCAGCCCAGCTTCCGCGTGGTGGACTCAGGCAGTCAGCCAGAAGCACCCCCATTGCCTGCTGCCTACTACCGCTACATTGAGAAATCGCCTGAAGACCTGGATGCAGAGGTAGAGTATGACATGGATGAGGAGGACCTGGCCTGGCTGGACATGGTGAATGAGAAGCGGCGAACGGATGGGCACAGTTCGGTGTCGGCAGACACCTTTGAGCTGCTGGTAGACCGGCTTGAGAAGGAGTCATACTTGGAGAGTCGTAGCAGTGGGGCCCAGCAGTCACTCATTGACGAAGACGCCTTCTGCTGTGTGTGCCTGGATGACGAATGCCACAATAGCAACGTCATTCTCTTCTGTGACATCTGCAACCTGGCTGTACACCAGGAGTGCTACGGAGTCCCCTACATCCCCGAGGGTCAGTGGCTATGCCGCTGCTGCCTGCAGTCTCCCTCCCGGCCTGTGGATTGTGTCCTCTGCCCCAATAAAGGTGGCGCCTTCAAACAGACCAGCGATGGGCACTGGGCCCACGTGGTGTGTGCTATCTGGATCCCTGAAGTGTGCTTTGCTAACACCGTGTTCCTGGAGCCCATCGAGGGCATTGACAACATCCCACCTGCCCGCTGGAAACTGACCTGCTATATCTGCAAGCAGAAGGGGCTGGGTGCCTCCATCCAGTGCCAAAAGGTGAACTGCTACACAGCCTTCCATGTGACGTGTGCACAGCGGGCCGGGCTCTTCATGAAGATTGAGCCCATGCGCGAAACCAGCCTAAATGGCACCACTTTCTCAGTGCGCAAGACTGCCTACTGTGAGGCCCACTCACCCCCAGGTGCTGCCACTGCGAGGAGGAAGGGTGTCTCCCCTGGAAGCCTTAGTGAGCCTGGGAATGAGGAAGGGCTGAAGGAAGGCTATGGGGAGGAGGAAGACAAAGAAGAGGTGGAAGAGGAGGAAGATGAAGGCCAAGGTATAGTAGGTGGCCCCCTCAAAGGAGTGTCTAAGAAGAACAAGATGACTTTGAAGCAAAAAATCAAGAAAGATCCAGAGGAAGTAGGTCGAGACATGCCCTCCGTTGTCCCCTTGGTCACCGTCCCACAGATACCCTCTTACAGGTAAACCTGCCCAGGAGGGTGCCCCAGAGACTAATGGTTTCTTCTTGGGCTGGTGGTGGCCTTTCCCATGCACGTTGATGAACATCTGTTCTCTTCCGTGCCCTCAAATTTCTCCTGGGTCCTGGGTTTACCTAGTCTGGTTTGTGATTTTGGTTGTGTTTTCAGAACAATGTGTTTCCTTTGGTTCAAGGTGAGATAAACAATTGAGTTGCTTAGTAGCTCAGGTGACAGGATGTCTAAGGCAGTATTTTTCAGTAGGATCAAGAATTACCATATCATTTGGGATATGGTAATTCTTCATTATTAGGACTGTCCCAGGTGTTTCTGGATGTTGAGCATCTGTGGTCTTTGTAAATACCAGTAGGATCCCCTCCTTCATTGCCTGGTCTTTGTGACAACATCAAACCTACCCCACATGTTTCCAAATACTCTATAGTGATGCAGTTACTTCCAATTGCGGGGGTCAGTATGGTTTTCTACTATCTAGAAAGCTTGGTCCTGGGAATGATAGGGATTTTCTGGGAGGGGTGGTGGTGTGGGGAGTACATGTTACTCCTCTTGAGAAGTTTTTAGATTTAGGATCACTCGTCAGCTATGTATAAGCCTACTAAGTGTATAAAGAGACCAGTGTACCTGTTAAGCCACCGTAGAGGTCTCTGGAACTGTTGGAGGGTTGGGAAGTTGGTGGAGAACAAGAGACAGGAGATTTTCCAGTGGAGGCTCATCTCAAGGATGATATTCATAAATAAGTAGAATGTTAGAGCAGGAAGGAATCGTGAAGATTATTCATCTAATATAGTCCTTGCACCTTCTCCCACACCCCCAGATGAAGAAACCGCGGCCATTGGAGGTAAAGTTGTTCACTCCTTTATTTATTCATTGAGATGTTTATTGAGCACTTACTATATGCCAAGTCCTGTTCTAAGGGCTGGAACCAGGTGGAAAGTGGCTGACTCTGGACCACAACTGGGGCTCAACTGTAGGTTCTATACCTGCTGTCTCTCTCACTTGATGAGAAGAATAGGGATAAAGGAATACTAGAGGTAGTGAGGAATGAGTTATACAAGGGAAACAGGCAATCAGACTTGTCTCTTGGAAAGAAGACATAAGAGCATAGAAGGTCAGGAGGGAGAGGCTCTTGTTGCAAGCCATGGCTTGAGTTAGAATTTAATCGACTTGGAAATGTATCCTCTAGTCACAGAACTGTTCCAGGACACCCTGTTAAAGGCTTAGTCCACATCTGTAGGTGTTATGCCCTGGCGCTAGGCTTTTTGCCATGTCTGCTCTTAAGATGTCTCTTGCAGGCTGGCTAAGGACCATACAGACCTATATTTGAATCCTGTTTCTATCACTACCTGTGTGACCTTTGGCAAGTTACTTATTTATTTGTAAGTAAACCTACTTCATAGGGTTGTGAGAAATAATACAAGTAAAGCACTTAGGACAGTGCCTGGCAAATAGTAAGCTCTCAATAAATGGCTGCTGCTGCTATTTTATTATTATTCTTTTTCCTATCTGCACAAATGCTATTGGGACCCTCCATGGCCAAGAGGTTATAGAGGGAGGGGGCTCCCTGCATCTGGGCAGGTGTGCTTGGCATGGGCACTGGTGGGGGATCTGTCCTTTGGGGAAAGTCCTACCTAGGCCCTGATTTTGTAAGCTTGGCTTTGGGCAAGAATGTCTGACTGTGGAAAGGCGCAAGGCCCAGGTGAGCTATGTCCAGTCCAAGATGCCCATTCTTCTTAGGTTCTACCTTCTTTAGCCATGCTTATCTTCCTTTCAGTGGGGTGAGACGAAGAGAAAAGCAGTAGAAACACCACAGGAGCACTGAGGCCTTTTGCTCACCCGGTAGATAACCAATTATCGAACACTGCATGGAACAGCCAAGAGATCATGGTTCAGATCCCACCCCAGCTCCATCATCTTATTAGCTGCATTAGTGACTTTGACAATTTGTTCAGCCTCTGTTCCTCAGTTGCCTTTCCATCTTCTATAACATGGAAATAATGTTACCCACCTTTCAGTATGGGCATTAGGTTAGAGATTGTAGGCTCTCATTAATTCCCTTCCTACCTCTTTCCCTTCCTGCCACACACCCCTACCGTAAGGCTAAGGCTAAGTTTTCAGATTCTCCATCCTCTTATACCTTGAAATTCATGAAAATATATATTTTGGTTCAAAATCAGACATTTTGGGGCTGCTGAGGTTTTTAATGAAAAACCAGAGGTCAGATGAGTCCAAAGGGTTGCATTTGAGAGTAGCTAGTTTTCCTTCCAGCTGGTCTGGTGAGACCCTCAGACACAGGAGATAGTGACCACATTGCTCATAGCTTACTCAAGTTCCTGTTCTCTTGCTGCCTTTTATCAAGACAAGCCTTTTGGGGTGCAGGCCTGCTTCTCAGGAGTCCACAACTGCAGGAAACAGGTTTTCTAGAAGAGGGTTGTCATGGAGGTTCAGGATTGCAATGCAGGATGTGGAAAGTCAAGTGAATCTGAGCTGCTTGACTTTGCTGTTCTTTTCAAGCCTTTCTCTGAGGTGAGGCATTGGGCCACTTTATTCTGTCTTCCTTTATAAGGTTCATAAATGAACCAGGGTCTGGAGAGGAGGCTATAATCTGGTCTGCCCACTGACCCTGTCTGTCACTTCCCTTTGCCTCTACTCAAGGTTGAACAAGATCTGTAGTGGTCTCTCCTTTCAGAGGAAAAACCAGTTCATGCAGCGGCTTCACAACTATTGGCTGTTGAAGCGGCAGGCACGGAACGGTGTACCCCTCATTCGCCGCCTGCATTCCCACCTGCAGTCCCAAAGAAATGCCGAGCAGGTAGGTGACATGGTGATTTGGAGGTGGAGCGATGAAGGAGTGATGGTTGGGGCTCCCCATTCCCCTAACCCTCAGTGGAGCCTTTGCCCATATGTGATCACCCCTAAAGGTGGTCTATCCCGGGAATGACCTCCAGCAGTATAGAGCTCCTCAGACCAGACAGCATCTCCTTCTGGATGGGAGAAGCTTGACTTCGGAGCAAATTGTAGGGAATAGTGAAGAGCAAGCCCAGCTGTCTGTATATGTGGATAAAAGCCTTTAGATGTGGCAGAATGGAAGTAGTGGGATGAATGAGAGCCAGGCAGCACTGAATTGCATGAATTAAGAAAAGGCACACTTTCCTCAAGACACTGGATTGCCATGTGCCAAAAAAAGTGATTCATAGAAAATACACAAATTTACCATCTACCGTATTTTTCGGACCATAAGACGCTCCGGACCATAAGACGCACCAGTTTTTAGAGAAGGGAAATGAAGAAAAAAAGATTCTGAAACAAATAGTGTCCTAAAATATTTTATGTGCATTAAAACCCAACATCACAGTCATAAACACATGTAATCAACCCTGTAAAGTAAACAGCAGCATTTAGAACCATTTTAGAGCCGGGCAAGCACACAGAGACCACACAGAGCTGGGCAAGTAAAAAAACTTTTTTTTTAAAGTATATGTGTAGGCTATATTTGGACCATAAGACGCAGGGACTTCCCCCCCCCCCCCCACTTCTGGGGGGAAAAAAGTGCGTCTTATGGTCCGAAAAATACGGTAAGTTGTGCATAGCTTGCCCAATTGTCATGACCTTTTAGTCACTAGCAACTGGAATTGCTATGTTTAATGTTTTCTGTGAGGGTGGAGACTTAAAAAAAATACATATTTTTATTTAGAGGAAGGGAGAGGGAGAGAGATAAAAACATCAGTGGTGAGAGAGAATCATTTATTGGCTGCCTGCTTCATGCCCCCCGACTGGGGGTTGAGCCTGAAACACAGGCATGTACTATGACCAGGAATCAAACTGTGACCTCCTGGTTCATAGGTGGGCGCTCAATCACTGAGTCATGCCAGCTGGGCCTGAGAGACTTAACATTTTTAGTTCTCTCTCCCTATTCATTGCTCCATTACTTCTGCCTTTTAAGTATTCTCACACATGATAACCTCTGCGTTCTGTCTGATTTCACTTTTGCCTTTTGGAACTGAGTACTAAGGTGCCACTTCTATATCTGGTCTCTCTTCAAAATGGTCCATGTGCTCCCCTGTAGCCTCCCATGGAACATCAGTGACCTCCTCCCAGCTCAGCAAGTCTTTCCTTAGATTCTCACTTCATTGACTGTTGTTTGATACATTTGATACGCTGGCCATCTTGTCTTAGAGCTTCTCTGTGACTTCATTTCCCACCTCCAACACCCCACAGGCTGCACCCTGTGCCCATCCTACTTCTTACTCCTTAATGGTAACATTCCCAGAGGCTCAGTTGCTGGCCTGTCTGATTGGAGAACTTGTACATTCGTAGCTGTAAATAACTGTGGAGTAGTTGCTACAGATTTCTTGACTTGTCCTCATCCTTATTTTCTACCCTCAGACCCTATAGGGCACAGGAACTGTAGATGTCCATGTAGATGTTGTTTCTTGTAACTCAGGTACTGGGAACTGAATTTATTATCTTCCTTCCTCTCAGTAAACATATTTCTTCATTATTGTCATGATCTCAGACGTTCCCCACCTTATAGTTACTCTTGACTCTTCCCTCCATAACAAGCCGCAGTTACTCCTCCCTAAGCTCTTTGGAGGATTTATCAGTATATGGCCCTTTGTCTCCATTCTCCAGCTACATTGCTCACACATATCCCTTTAATTTCAGCAGTAGCTTTCTATCTAGATTGTCACCAGCCTCTCATTCTTTCTTTGATCTACAACTGGTGATGTCTTACACACCATTTTCCATCCTGTCACTTCCTTTCCCAGAATATGTCCAGGCTCCAGGCTGTTTGGTCTGGCATTTGAGGCTTCTTGTCAGCTGGGTTCTGGATCTTTCATGGCTTTTGTGATTTTCCAGCTTCTCTCCTCTGGCCAGCTCATTTTTTCTCACCAAGCAAAGAACCACTGAGTATCCCTCCACCCTTTGGCTCTATGGTTTCTTTAGTTCCAGAAGAGGCCTTCCTTGCCCAGCCAGCGTGGCTCAGTGGTTGAGCGTCAAACTATGAACCAGGAGGTCACAGTTCGATTCCCAGTCAGGGCACATGCCCAGTTGCAAGCATGATCCCCAGTAGGAGACATGCAAGAGGCAGCTGAGCAATGATTCTCACTGATGTTTCTATCTCTCCCTTCCTCTCTGAAATCAATAAAGATATATATGTTAAAAAAAAAAAAAAGACCTTCCTTACTGCTTTATTCATCCATATCCACATGTGAAAACCTAGTAAGATTCCTCCCTCAGGAAGCCATCCCTGACCTAATCCCAACCCACTCAGATCCTCTCTATTTTATATCCTCGCAGCATCTTATATTCAGTCTCTGATCAGTTTTTGTTGTCTTTTTGCTACTGTGCCCTTGTGCATCAAACCCTACACTTCCCCCTACTACGTTGTAATCTTTTCTAGGTCTGCAACCCTTTATTTGGTGGGGTGGAGGTGTTTTAAAGTCAGTTAGTACAAGCTTATAGTAAGAACACTTCGTTTTCTAGATCAAAGTTGAAGCTCTAGGGAGAAATCCTATCCTGAGGTGTCTACTAGTTTCCTTCTGAAATTCTTTTCAGCCCTGAGGGGCACTAGTGCTCTCTGGTGTCCCCAAGAGTGGGAGGAGTGGTCCCAGATCTCACCCGGGCAGTTGTACTGCAGTAAAGAAACATTGCTATAGGGTCAGGGGAAGCCCAGGAGGAAGGAGTGGGTGGAAAGGGAGTGGAGGGTCTTTGAGGGACTGTGGGTCAAGGAAGGGGTTGGGGCTCTTAACTTGTCAAGGCCCCATGAAGCTTGATTAGGGAGAGGACTTTGGGCAGGAAGGAGGCACCTAGCTCCTTCCTTTCCCTTCCCTTCCCTTCCCTCCTGCAGCGAGAGCAGGATGAGAAAACAAGCGCCGTGAAGGAAGAGCTGAAATACTGGCAGAAATTGCGGCACGACTTGGAGCGAGCCCGGCTGCTCATCGAGCTGATTCGGAAAAGAGAGAAGCTCAAGCGGGAGCAGGTGAGGAGCTCTGAGCCCCAAGACTCTTATCCAGGAACTTTTTCTCCCAGTCAGTGAGTTACCAGGAGACCTGGTGTAAACTTCCTCCCCTTCTTACCTGGCATTATGGGCTCTATGGGCTGCCTACTCCGTGGTGCTGCTGAGGGCTTCTCTCTGGGGATTCAGCTTCTGGTGGTCTCAGGCATAAGCTCAATATCATATGCCTGGGCCAGTCCCTGGAGTTTCTGACTCAGACTCTAGGGAGAGCCTGTCCTTGAGTATTTTATAAAGCTTCTCAGGCTGTCTTAGCTGGTTTGGTTCAGTGGGTAGAATGCCGGCCTGTGGACTGAAGGGTCCCAGGTTTGATTCTGGTCAAGGGCACATGCCCAGGTTGTGGGCTCAATCCTCAGTAGGGGCATGCAGGAGGCAGCTGATCAATTGTTCTCTCTCATCATTGATGTTTCTATTTCTCCCTCTCTCTTCCTCTCTGAAATCAATAAAAATATGTTTAAAAAAAAAAACTTAATAAAAAGCTTCTCAGGCCATTCTGATGTCCATTACCCCTGGCTTGGGAACTTCCGAGGCTCCTCACTAGGCCCTTAAACACTTTTGGTATTAAGTCATTTAAATTTCCCAACATCTATTCAAAGATATTTTAAGGCTTTGAGTATGGGGAATACTCAAAGCCTTAAAATATAAGGTAGTTGAGATAGGTAGTGTGGCAGAGGGGTTAGGAATATGAACTATGGCACCATCCTGCTTTGTTTAAATCTTAGCTCTGCCACTTACTACTTGTGAGACATTGCTAATCTCCTTATATCTTAGTTTCCTCAACTGTGAAATGGAAGTATAATAGAACGTACCACATAAGGTTGTTGTGAGGATTAGATGACTTGTATATACAAAGAGCATAGAACAGTGCCTGGCATATAGTAGAGGGGCTACAGTGTCAGTTTCTATCATCATTATTGACACTATGCCTCCCTGAAGTACCTGCTGCAGTTCTCTACACATGGCAGAAAGCAAATACTGTTGTTGTTTTTTAAAAAATATTTTTATTGATTTTAGAGAGCAAGGGAGGGAGAGAGAGATAGAAACATCAATGATGAGAGACAATCATTGATTGGCTGCCTCCTGCACGCCCAACACTGGGGATTGAGCCCACAACCCAGGCAGGTGCCCTGACTGGGAATCGAACCGTGACTTCCTACTTCATAAGTCCATGAAAGCAAATACTGTTTTTTTTAAAAAAAATAAATTTATTTTTTCTTCTTTTTCTAATCCTCACCTAAGGATATTTTTCCGAGAGAGAGAGAGAGAGAGAGGGAAAGATAGAAACATTAATGTGAGAGAAGCACATCAATTGGTTGTCTCCTACATGCACCCCGACCAGGGCCTGAGCTGGGGAGAAGCCTGCAACCAAGGTATGTGCCCTTGACTTGAATTGAACCCAGGACCCCTTAGTCCACAGGCCGATGCTATATCCATTGAGCCAAATTGGCTAGGGCATAAATACTATTAATTCAATGAATGATGAGCTAAAACTGTTCTTTTTGGTCCAGGAATAGCAGCTGTTACTGGAATGCTTCATAGGCCTGGGTCAAAGATGTTCCTTTCTCTCTTTCTCCAAACTCCCACTTCTGTTCAGCCCCAGTGCAAGACCTGAGTTTATTTCTGAGACCTAGCAGCTCTTGCTATACCTAGCATGAAGGACATCTCAGGACCGAATCTCAGGATTCACACTGTTTGCCATCCCAGGCCTGGATTCGCACCTGAGCTTTTTTTCCTGCCTCTGGTTCACATAAATGAAAGGGGAAAGAAAGCAGGCAGGCAGGCCTGTTTTAATGTAGCCAAGAGACAAGTCTAATCCATGGCTTCCCAACCTTTTCATAGTAGGACACACATGAATATAATGTGGTAAAACATACTACTGTAAATATGGGAAGCTGCTTGCTGCCCGAGGAGATGAGCCTGGAGGCCCAGGTTAGTCCAGCTTAACCCAGACATTCCAGAGGCCAGTGGGATCAATATCTCAGCACAGTAGGTGGGAATTCTGGCCCAAGGCACATTTTATATCATCACTGTGCCCCTTGGACTAAGTCAGACCCTGCTCTTGAGCCAGGTGACCATGGGTTAATTCAGATTCCATATTTATAAAATGGGGATGATAAGTCTCTCTTTCAGGGTGGTTATGTTGATTCACTGAGGTAATGTGAATAGAGAGGCAGTGTGACATAGAGCACACACTGCAGAATCAGGCTGTCTGGGATGTCGTCTCAGCTCTGCCTCTTACTGGCTGTGTGACCTGGGACCAGTCTCTGCCTCCATTTCCTTTTGTATAATATCTGTACCTACCTCATGTACTCACATATAAAATGCTAGAAAGTTGCTTGGCACTTAGAAAGGACTATAAAAGTAGTCATTATTATTATAGTTGACTCTTGAATAATGTGAGCATTAGGGGCTCTGACCCTCAGCGTAGTTTAAAATCTGCATATAACTTGATTTCCCTAAAACTTAAACACTAGTAGCTTACTGTTGACCAGAAGCTTTACTGCTAACAGTTGACTAATATATACTTTGAATGTTTTATGTATTATATACTATATTCTTACAATAAAATAAGCTAGAGGAAAGAATGTTAAAATCATAAGGAAGAGAGCATAAGTTAATATTTATTGAAAAAAAATCCATGTGTAAGTTCAAACCTGTGTTTTTCAATGATCAACTATATAATTATTATCACTGTTAAGTTTCGGTGTGGTGCTTGATACATAGGAAACATCCACATAGTGGTAGCTCTTGGTATCTTTATTTCTAGGCTGTGGGTTAGGTGGTCACTCCTAATAAAATGGTCAGCTTAATAGCCTGTGAAAATTCATTATACACAATTGGTGAAAGTCAAACTACCATGTTTTCCCCAAAATAAGACATCCACCGAAAATAAGACCTAGCACCTGGAAAGATAAGACATCCCATGAAAATAAGACATAGCGCAACTTTGGGAGAAAAAATTAATATAAGACACTGTCTTACTTTCGGGGAAACTGGGTATAAAGAAAGCGTTCAGTGCCTCTTCGAGGGGAGGGGCGTCCTGATTTCTCCCCACCTTCCCACAGATCAGGGTCCAGCAGGCTGCCCTGGAGCTAGAGCTGATGCCATTCCACGTTTTGCTGAGGACAACCCTGGACTTGCTGCAGGAGAAGGATCCCGCGCACATCTTTGCCGAACCCGTCAGCCTGAGTGAGGCAAGTTCCCCCCACCCCACTTTCTGAAGAGTGATCCCCTCAAGAACTGGGAGCTATCTGCAAAGGCCAGGAGGGGGTTGAATGACAGAGTGTACCAAAACTGGGGGTGTCTGGCAAGGCCAGTAGACTGCCAATAGTGAGGGGTCAGCAGACCAGGGTGGGCCAGGGCCCTGGGGCTCTGTGAGCCCAGAATGGTCAAACCAGGGAATGGGGAGGCTAGAGTGCCGGTGAAGGGTGCGCCTGTTTGGCTAGTAAATGGTTGTTGTAATTGTACAGGTTTTATATGTTTAGGTTCCAGATTACCTGGAATTCATATCCAAGCCAATGGATTTTTCTACTATGAGGCGGAAGCTGGAATCCCATCTGTACCACACCTTGGAGGAGTTTGAGGAGGACTTTAACCTTATAGTTTCCAACTGCATGAAGTATAATGCTAAAGACACAATTTTCCACCGAGCAGCTGTCCGCCTGCGGGACCTGGGAGGGGCCATCCTGCGGCATGCCCGGAGGCAGGCAGACAACATCGGCTATGACCCCGAGAGGGGCACACACCTGCCCGAGTCACCCAAATTGGGGGACTTCTATCGCTTTTCCTGGGAAGACGGTGAGAAGCTTGGACGGGTGTGGAGGACAGGGGCTAGGAGGAGGCACAGGGACAGAGTAAGCCAGGGATCAGAGTGGATCTTGGGGCTGTAGACACAGGCTGGAATATATCTGGAGCAAAGCTGGGGGTAGGCACAGGCTGGAATATATCTGCTTGTGGCTGTAATAGTTTCGCAGATTAAAGTTTAACTAATTCACTGAGCACTTCCTGAATGGTAGGAAAGGGGAATCAGGTACTAGCTGTCTCTTTGAGAAGCGAAAGCCTCACTGGTGTCTTCTCTGTCTGGCACCGGGGCATGGGGCAGTGAATGCAGGCGGCTGAGTGTTTGGCTCACTCAGAGGGTGCAGGTGGAGGATACGGAGAGTGCAGAGAACGGAATTGCCTCGGAGCTCTCACTCTGCCTGACCCTGTTCTCTGCTTTTCAATGGCAGCAGCCAAACAGTCACTCAGGCCAGGGAACTGCCAAACTGCCTCGTGCCTGCTCCATAGAGCCCATAATCGTGACTGTGGAATGCTTCCTGCAGATGTTTCCCAGAGTCTGACTTTGTCCTTGTGGCTGCCCTGTAGGCAGCTGTGGTGCCAGGGCCAAGGCCCCACAGTGATGTTGCTGGAAGCCACTGGCTCAGGCATTCCAGGAGAATATTTTGCATCCAAAGAATTTAGCCCCTCCCCCTTCCCCTGGGCTAGGCAGGTCCTTCAGCCCCTTCTCTCTTCCCTTCTCTCTGGCAGTGGACAACATCCTCATCCCAGAGAACCGAGCCCATTTGTCCCCGGAGGTGCAGCTGAAGGAGCTGCTAGAGAAACTGGACCTGGTGAGTGCCATGCGGTCCAGTGGGGCCCGGACCCGCCGCGTCCGCATGCTGCGCCGGGAGATCAATGCTCTTCGGCAGAAGCTGGCACAGCCACCGCCACCACAGCCGCCCTCACTGAACAAGACTGTGTCCCATGAGGAGCTTCTGGCAGGGCCCCAGGGAGATGTGGCTGCGCAGGCCCTGCAGGAGGAACCAGAAGATGATGGGGACAGAGGTGAGATGCTGGGGGCAGGGTAAGGGAGCAAGGGTTAAGCTGAAATCCTGAGTAGAAACGTCCTTCCTTGAGTTTAGGTCTGATCTTTGTGGGCAAGCAGAAGCCCTTGGAGGGGTCACACTTGCGCATATGCCCAGGGTTGATATTCAAAATATTTAACTATCAGTAGAGATCAAAGTTTATCAGTCAGAGTAGGTGTTGATTGTTGTATTGGAATGAACTCCTGGCTACTGATGTGGATATTTAGTTGCTGGATTGTGGACAGGTTTGGGGAGTTTCAGAGGCTGGGGCTCAGCAGATGTTATTAACCAGTAAAGAAATATTTTAGTACTAGAGGCCTGGTGCACAAAATTCGTGCACAGGGCGGTGGGGTTTGGGGGGTGTCCCTCAACCCAGCCTGCATCTCTCCAATCTGGGACCACCCAAGGATGTCCAACTGCCCATTTAGACCCGATCCTGGTGGACATCCCTCTCACAATCCAGGACTGCTGGCTCCCAATTGCTTGCCTGCCTGCCTTCCTGATTGCCCCTAACTGCTTCTGCCTGCTAGGCTGATCACCCCTAACCATTCCCATGCCAGCCTGATTGATGTCTAACTGCTCCCCTGCCAGACTGTTTGTCCTCAACTTCCCTCCTCTGTTGGCCTGGTCACCCCTAACTGTTCTCCCTTGCAGGGTTGATCACCTCCAACTGCCCTTCCTTGCAGGCCTGGTCCCTCTCAACTGCCCTCTCCTGCTGGTCATCTTGTGTCCACATAGGGGCAGGATCTTTGACCACATGGGGGCGGCCATTTTGTGTGTTGGAATGATGGTCAATCTGCATATTACTCTTATTAGATAGGGTAGAGGCCTGGTGCAAGGGTGGGGGCCAGCTGGTTTGCTCTGAAGGGTGTCCTGGATCAGGTGGGGGTTCCCTTGAGGCGTCGGGTGGCCTGAGCGAGGGAGGGGCCTGTGGTGGTTTGCAGGCCGGCCATGCCCCCTGGTGACCCAAGTGGAGGCCCTGGTATATGGAATTTGTTTACCTTCTACAATTGAAATTATGGAGCCAAGCCTCTTGCTCGCTTTATGGCCAGCAGCCATTTCTGTTTGATTTGTTTACCTTCTATAATTGAAACTTTGTAGTCTTGAGGGCAGGCGGAAAGCTTGGCTTCCTCCAGTTGCCTGGGAAACCCACTCCCTCCTACTCTCTGTGGCTGTAGCCATCTTGGTTGGATTTATTTGCGTACTCGCTTTGATTGGCTGGTGGGTGTAGCGGAGTGATGGTTAATTTGCATATTACTCTTTTATTAGGTAGGATTTTGCTCCTGATATGGTCATATTGCACATACCAGTTAAATATCAGCTCACCTATACCATAATGTAGAGAGGTTCTTAGAGCAGCTCATGTTATGGTGGGGCACAGGCTATAGAAAAGAAAGACGCTAAAGATAGTCTGGGCTCTCAAGCTGCCTCATGCCTCTGACCCTAGCTGGCTGAGTCTATAGGCCCATCCCAAAGCAGAAAGGCCAGATTGCAAAGACAGCTGGGGAAGTGATTCTCAGAGACTCTGAGGCTTGACACCTGAGCTGCTTTCCATTCTCCCACATCACTGGGGACAGAATGGTCTTCCTACCTATCCTTGGATCTGAGCCTATGATTTGGGAGGGAGTGTCATCTATACAGTTCAAAATGTTGAGAATTATTTCCAGAGGGAAGAGGGCCAAATTACAGGGGGATGGCCCATTTTAGATTGGCAAAGAATGGGGACATGGCTGAGAGGTCATATTTGGCTTTAAAGGGCTTTGCGTCTGTTGTGATTCTTCCTCACTCCCCATGTGGCAGTCAGCATATGTCCCCATGGCAGTATCCCCCTCCCAGGTTGTGGCAGCATAGGGTCATGCCCAGTGGCCCAGCTTGCGGCAGCTCATAGAGCAGGAGTGGAAAATGTCCGGCCCGTAGGCCATGTAAGGCCCGTGAAATCGTTGGTCTGGCCCTGCAAAAGTTTAGGGGCGAGTTAATTACAGTCTGAGCAAATACAGCAGGCTAATTTTTAAGGTGATTATTTGTATGGCCCCAGAATGATGTTATAAATATCCAGATGGCCCTTGGCAGAAAAAAGGTTTCCCACCCCTGAAGGATTTTGAACAAAATTCCCAGGGTTCACCTCCCAGAGATGCAGATTAGGGCAGTCTCGGCTGTGGTTTGGAATCTCAGTTTTTAAAAGTTTCGGCCATGGCCAGTAGCTCAGTTAGTTAGAGTGCAGTCGGGTACACCAAGATTGTGGGTTTGACCCCTGGTCAAGGCACATACAAGAATCAACCAACGAATGCATAAATAAGTGGAACAACAAATCAACCCCCCCCCCCTTCTCTCTCTCTCCCTTTTTCCCTTTTTCTCTCTCCCTCTCTCCCTTCTTCCCCCCTCCCTTTTCGTCTAAAAATCAACATAAAAATTCTTTAAAAAAAAAAAAAAGTTTCAAGGTGGTAGGTGAACCCTTAGCCTCATTTTTCTGTATCTATAAACTTATTCTTTCTGCTTGTCCTATTTCCTTCATTGGGTGATGCAAACCAAAATACAGTGAAAGATGGGAACACATTTGAGTCTAAGGAGAACGGTAGACTCCTGATTTGTGCAGCTGAGACTCACCTAATTATTGATGAAATAGGCAGCCTTTGGCTTTCTCAGGTGTGGAGCAATGGTGTGTAACGCTACCTCATCAGACTCCACTGATAAGCTTAAAAAGGGATGCCTCATCTTTAGAGGTTTGGTTCCAGTGGTCTGGAATAGGACTTGGGCATTGAAACTTTTAAGAAACCTCCTAGGTGATCCTAATTCATGGCCAGTGTTAAGAAAACTTAGTCCTCCCTTCTCTTCACCTCAGACTGAGACCTGGGATGCTTCTCAAGCCACGGCTAGTGCCATTGATTCTGGTTATCAGTCTCATTAGCTGGCTCATAGGGGCAGACTTTTTCTAAAATGTTCAAGCAGGTTCTCTTTTTCTCTAACAGATGACTCCAAACTGCCTCCCCCACCAACCCTGGAGCCTACTGGGCCTGCACCTTCCTTGTCTGAGCAAGAATCCCCTCCAGATCCCCCCACTCTAAAACCTATCAGTGACAACAAACCTCCAAGCCGATTCCTAAAACCCAGAAAGGTGGAAGAAAATGAGCTTTTGCGAAAATCACCTCTGCAGCTAGGGAACGAGCCGTTTCAAGACCTGCTCAGTGATGGTGGCATCAACAGACTGACCCTCATGGCCTCCGATGACCCTGACGGTGCCCCGCTCGGTAATGTGGGCCGCCGCGCCTCAGTCCTCTTTAAGAAGGCCAAGAATGGGGCTAAGCTGCAGAGGAGCCCAGATGGGGCCCTGGAGAATGGCGAGGACCATGATGCAGCGGGCTCTCCGGCCTCTCCTGGCAGCATTGAAGATGAGCAGCACTCCCGGAAGCGGCCAAGGAGCAGGAGCTGTAGTGAGAGTGACGGGGAGAGGACCTCCCAGCAGGAGCAAGAAACAGGTGATCTGCCTGTGACTTCTCTCACTACTTTTCACCTGCTTCTCTGCTTTGCCTTGCCAGCCAGCACCCCCCCAGTCGTCCGGCTCTCTGAAAGCTCCTGTGGATGCCAGTAGTAGCATTGAGGGCTCCCTGGGTCACAGTTGTGCCTGGCCGTGATGAGCAGAGGCCTGCGGAATTTGGCTTTGAGCAAGTATTTAGTTTGTGTCTGGGGCCCTCTCTGGCCCTAATGGGAATGCAAAGCTGGACTTGGTAAAATAGGTCCTGTCTTCATTTTAGTTCATTCATACATCGGATATTTATATCAGGCATTCTTCTAGGTACTGGGGCAAATGTCTCCTCCCTTGGAGGGAAGATATATTAAAAGCAAGTGAGTGGATTGTGGATTGTATATCATATTAGAAGTTACTGAGAAAAAACTAACAGGGAAGGGGCATAAGGGACGCTGGGGTGGTATTAGAGAGTGCCAGGAGAGGCCTTTCAAGGAGGTGACATTTGACTAAAGATCTGAAGGAGTTGAAGGTGTGAGCTCTTTGGGAATCTGGGAGAAGAACGTTCCAAATAGAGATAGACTAGCAGGTGCACAGGCCCTGTGTGGGAACGTGCCTGCACGTCTGAGGAACAGCAAGGGAATCAGTTTGGCTGTATGTAGGAGAATGAGCCAGGGATGATAGAAATGCATCTCAGAAGTGGGTAATGGGGGCTCAGTCACTAAAGAATTCTTACTATGTGTCCAGCACCAGCTGGCCTTGGGGAGGGGCAGGTAATGAGGCTAGTTCCAGCTGCAGGAGGGTCCACAGGCTAGTGGAGAGGCTGGACGGCCTCTTGGGGCACAGAGGTGCCGCAGCGCTGGACAGTAGATGGTTATATGTCAGGTGACAGGTATAGCACTGCTGGAGGGGTTCAGGGACCATGAGCTGGAGGAGTAGGCAAGGTTGCACCAAGAGTTGATGCCTGAGTTGTCCCTAAGCGCTGAGAGCAGAATGGAAAAGAGTAGGTGGAACAAAGAGGTCAGGCACAGGTGTGTGTAGAAACAAGGATAGTCTCTGAGCGGGACAGTTTGGAGAGTCGGGAACCAAGGCTGGAGGGTGAGTGGGCAGGACTGTGCAGGGTCCACATTGGTAGACAGAGGAGTTGAGTCTCGGTGGGATATGGAAGGCCAGCTTGCTGCTTGGGGAGGGGCCTGCTCTTGGCTGTTGCTCCTCATGTCCCTCGCATGTCCTTTTATATGGTGGCTTTGGGATGTATGGCCAGCACATGTTTTTATGCTTTTCTTTCTTCCTATCACTGTTACAAGTAATACCGTCCCTTCCCACCTGGCCCAAGCTTCTCTGTATTAGGGGAGTAGGTTGGTATAGTCAAGAGCTTGAGGGCTGCAGTTAGGCAGACCTGCGTTCAAATTCCGTCTTCTTACCAGCTGTGCATCAAAGTAATTAGCTGGGACAAATTGAACAGGCTGTTTCCTTATTTCTAACTGGGGTGTAGTGACACCTGATTTGGAGGGCTCTAAGGATGGGAAGTAGTCTGTATGAGGCACTTGGCATGTAGCAGTAGATGGTAGCAATTACCGCTGTCATCCTCTCAGCCACGTCAGGCACAGCCAAGCAAACTGAGAACACTGCTCTAAAAATGACAAGTCCTGCTACTGGGAAGGCGGACATCAGGCTCACCCAAGTCGAGAGGGCCCCCTGCTTGGGGATACCACTAGTCTGTTCTCTAGTGCGGCTGCCCTGTGCTCAGGAATGCTGCTGCACACCCTTCTTCGGCCCTCACAGAAGCAGGTGTTGGTCCTTTACAGACGAGGCACCTGAGTAGCACAGCTGGCTTAGTGACTTAAATTGAGGTCACAGTGTTAGAGGCAGAGTCGGGTCAGTGTCCAGGTATCTTGGCTCAGACACCTGCTCTTACAGGTGTGACTTGCCTCACAGTTTTCTGGCCAAGGTGCCTTAGAGCTCTTGGCACTCTGACATGCAGCACTCGGGATTATGGTTAAGAACTAGGGTGACAGAGGAGAGTTGAAGCCTTCACAGCCAATGAGAGTCATGTTCCTGCGATGAGCAGGCAGTCTTCATCTGCCTCCAAAGGGCTGCCTGCTGTAAACAGACCTCCTCTCATTCATACTTAATAGCATCCGCGGTGAGTGAGAACATGCTGTCTTCCCAGAGGGGAGGCCAGGGCCTAAGGAAAGGGGCCTGTACCGAGAGCCCGGTCTGGAGCGCAGGGAATGCTGACTCCCTGTCCCCAAAGGGCTGGTCTGCTTTAGTTCTGCGGAAAAGTCCCCCATCCTCAAGTCTGACAGGCCCTGCTAGATATCTCCAGGCGTGGTTACACAGCCTTATCCCGCCCAGCCTCCCTGACACCATCCCAAAAGAATGAAGCTGGCTGTTGCCAGGGTGTGATGGATAGGAGTGCTTATCTGAGTGGGCCAGGCGGGTGGGCTCCCCAAGAGACAGAGGAGACTCCCTGATAATCGAGGCTTGAAATGGGAAGCAGATCCAGGGTCTTGTAAGCCAGCCGGAGTGGGGAAGTCTTGGTGTTTCCCTTTGGAGCCAGATGACAATACTGGAGTGAGCTGTGTTTGCCTGACAGTAAAGCCAGAGGAAGCGAAAGAAAACGCAGCGTCTGCTCATTGTCCCCGCCAACATCTTCCCCAAATCTGTATCAGATTCTACCACCAAGACCATTTCCCACAGGGGGGGCACGGCATTCTCACCCCTCCTCGCCGAGCCCTCCTGTGGTGGCCATGCTGCAGCGAGGGGCGGGGAGGGGGGACGCGGGGTGCTGCCTCAGGCTCACTCTGTGTGTCCTTGGCAGGCGTAACCAACGGCTTCGGGAAACACGCGGAAAGCGGGTCTGACTCAGAATGCAGTTTGGGTCTCAGTGGTGGACTGGCATTTGAAGCTTGCAGGTAAGAACACTTGTCCCAAAGCTTCACCACCTCTCCCTTCATTCTCCGTTGGGCTGCAGCTTGAACCTCTTTCTGCTTATATCTCAGATATGTTCTTCCCCCACCCCTGCTGATTCCTGAGGCCGTTGGTCTGCAACTGTGGGAGCTCCAAGAAAACAGTGTGACCCTTGCCTCTCAGGCCTGATCTGACTAGGAGGGAGGGAGAGGCTGATGCTTTACAGGGTTTGTGGAGCTGAGTTCGGCTCTAGAGAGCGGGCCAGCCATATCTCTGTTGCCCAGAGAAGTTAAAATTTGAGCCAGTCCTCCACCTGTTCCCCGACCCACTCAGATAACCCAGCTCATTACAGACATGGGTTCACCCTGTGCCTTTTGTGTCATCATAGCTATGGCCCCTTCAGAGGTGTGGTGTAGGGATAAGAAATGAGCTGATAGGAGAGTTGAAATTGCCTTTTATTGGCCAAAGGTCCCAGCTCTTCATTGAGCTGGGGTGAGTTTCTTTTCCCATTCTTTTAGCTGAAGGGAGGGTTGCTGATACCAGAGCCTTAATGATTCTCCCCCATGCTGGTGCCCCTGAACCCCTGCTCTGGCCTGTGAGCTGCACAGGAAGCCAGGGAGTGGGGAACTGTTGGAAATGGGCGACCCTCGGTGTCACAAAGGTTGACTTCGTGGTCCCTCCGTGTGGCTGCCGAATGGATTCTGCATCCAGAGCAGGGGAGATGGTCCTGGGAATGACACCAGAAGACTGTGTCTGTGCTTGAAGCACCTCCAAGGCAGGTTGGCTGTGCGTTCTGTAAGGTGCTTGTTCTAACCTGGCTCCTGGCTCCTGGTGGGTCCATAGGAAGCCCCTACCCCTTGGGCCTGGACCAGTTCCCGCTGTTGCAGGGCCCAGCTTTCAGGTTTCCCTCCCCACCAAACCTTAGAGTTGTCCTTTCTTGCTCCCTCCCATGCTGCCCTCTCCAGATATAGGGGGAGTAGATGGGAAAGAACATAGTTATCAAAGAAGAGGCAGAGACTTCAGGCTTTTCTCAGATGCTTCTAGTCTGACTCCCTTCAAAGATATAGTGCCTGGAGACCCAGCTCATTGGGGGTGGGGAAGAGTGTCCCTTCCTACACCTTAACTAAAGGTCCAAGGCGGGCTGGGCTCTTCCCTCTGTGAAGGGCACTCTTCCCAGCTCTGGACAAGAAGCCAGCCAGGCCAGGCTCCAGTGTGCTTGCCTTGTGCAGCCCTCCAGTCAGGGCTGGTCTGTCTGGGGCTCCACTCAACATGGGAAACATGCCCTTGGAAGGCATTTCCTCTCTGACTCAGTGGGATTTCAAGGTTTAAAATAGGAGATTCAGCGGCTCTGGCTGCAAGGGGTTTTTTCTTAATTTTTTTCAGTGCTATGGTGTTAAGAACATAAAGGACAATCATTAACTCGATAATCATATAATCCCAGAATTAGAAAGAACTTCTGGTCATCAATTCCACATACCCCTCCCCACCATGTGCCCCTTGGTTTATCTGTCTTAATGATTTTCTGAGCAGGTTAGGGCTGCACCATCTTTCTAAGGGTCAGTTCTTTAATTATTAATTGAGCACCTACTATGAGCCAGGAACTATAGTAGGCACTGATAAGGTGTCTGCTCTCATGGAGCTTATCTTCTGAAGGGCAGAAGTGAATGTTAAACCAGGAGACAGAGTAATTATAGGTTGGGTTGTGTGCTTAGGCCTGGGTAACATGGGAGAGAGGCTGAATGCAGGTGATGGTCAAGTCACTTGTGCTTTTTTTTTCCTTTAAAAAAAAAATTTTTTTTTTTTTTAATTTATTTGAGAGAAGTAGCAGGGGGAGAGGGGGAGAAAGGTTGTGGGGGGAGGGGAGAGAGGGAAAAACATTGATTTGTTCTGCTTATTTATACATTCATTGGTTGCTTCTTGTATGTGTCCTGGCTGGGGCACACTTGTGCTTTTTCCTATGAAACAGGAAAATACAGACCTAGTTTTGGCGTTGTATCCATTTTCTTTGAGCTTATCCTTCTCAGAGTTCATCATTTGATAGTACATTAATAGTTTGTAATATTTAAAGTGAGATATTAAAGTTTACTGCCCTTCATATATTGTTATAGAACTGCCACTTATTGAGTGTTTGGTATGTGCACTTCCTGAGCGCTTCCTGTGTATTAATCCATTAAGTCCTCACAACAACACATGGGGGACACGAGCATCAAAGAGGTTGAGGAACTTGCTCAGGGTCACAGAACTATTGAATAAAGAGCTGGTTCTGAACCCAGGAACTGGCTCCCCAGTTCAACCTTTTAATCACTTTGCTGGGCCCTCTTCTGTTGTATTTGAGGATGTCTTCTCAAACCATGATGTGAACTTGGAGAGACATTCCTAATAAAATTACTAGTACCTTCTATTCTATACGGCCTCAGAGTCTCTAGGCTCAGTGACAGATTTTTGTAGGGTGAGTGGGAACCGAAGCCTAAATATGAATTGGGTATTCTTTGTGTTTTTCCAAACAAGCCTTTATTTTCACTAGCAGGAAAAAACTCCCCACCTACTACTTCCTGAAGGATTATGATTCATTGCATTCTGGTTGTGCAGGTGTACTCTATTAGACATGAGGCAGACAGTACGATTCGATAAACCAGGAGCACCTGCTCGCCGCCAGTCCGAACCCTGGCCGCCTCTTGTCCCACCAGAGGTCTCTTAGCATTTCTGTTCTTCTGCAAATTGTTGGCCTGTCTTTTAAGCCCTTTTTTAGTTGAAAAAATTATATAGTGGTAATATTTTTTAAAGTTTGGATGGAAAGAAAGCCTTAGTCACATTATTTTTACCAGAGACTCCCAACTATGGTTGTGCATTAGAATTGCATTGAGAGCTACTTAAAAATACTGATGCCTCTGTGGGTTCAAGTTATACCATTATTCTGGTATTACTGTTCTCATTTTTGCTTATTACCCTTAGTCTTTGTTTAATTTTTAAAAATTTTTCTTGTTAAAAAAAAAAATCCATCTTTGTCTAAGAAAAATTGACACACATAAAGTGACAATGAGAAGTGGAATTTTTCCCAATTTAAAAATGTCTTTTCTAATTAAAGAAGTAGGACAAGTCCTTTAAAAAATTTGGAAAAGAGGCAGATTTTTATACCTCTAAAAAGTAAACTGGCCGAAACCAGTTTAATTCAGTGGATAGAGCATCAGCTTGCAGACTTAAGGGTCCCAGGTTCGATTCCGGTCAAGGTCATGTACATTGGTTGTGGGCACATCACCCGTGTGGGGTGTGCAGGAGGCAGCTCATTGATGTTTCTCTCTCATCGATGTTTCTGGCTATCTGTCCCTCTCTTCCTCTCTGTGAAAAATCAATAAAATATATTTTTAAAAAAATTGAACTGATTTCTAAAGAACAAGCAGTGTGAGCCACAGAGCAAAGAATTCTGGGCAGAGGTGAGATGGGCCTTTCTCATGTTGCCTGGGATGCTTTGCTCTGGATGAAGTCCAAGGGCCCAAACAGGGAGCGGGTAGCGGGCATGTCTTGCCAGGTTCAGTCCTTTCACATGGAGGAAATGGTTCCTGCCCGCCTCATGGGAACTTTCTGAAATGTGTCACGGCTGAGTGTGAGTTTTTAGGGGAAGGTGAGAAACCATTCTCCTTGCAGAGTTTATGCAGCTCCACTCCTGTCAGCCATTAGGCAGCGGGAATGGGGGTGTTAGTCATTGAATTGCTCCTCTCTTCCCCTTCCCTCCCTGCTCTGTACGCAGCGGTCTGGTGCCCCCCAAACGCAGCCGTGGGAAGCCAGCCTTGTCTCGAGTGCCCTTCCTGGACAGTGTGAACGGAGACTCTGACTACAGCAGCTCAGGTGAGGAGCAATGCACAGGTGGGCTTGGGGACAGGCCTTCCCGAGAACCAGCTCTGTGGTCTGGCTAGACCGAGAGCTCTTCCGAATCCTTGGGCACTGGGCCGGGTCTTCCTCCCCAGGTCATTCATAATCATTTTTATTTCCACCCCCCAATTCATCTTAAATTTGAATTGGCAATATATGCCTATGGTAACAAAAATCAGAATGGTATAAAAGATGCGTAATGAAAAACCAGTGCTCCCCTCCTGAGGGCAACCACTGTTGGTAGTTTCTTTTTGTCTTTCCAGATGTAACCCTTACACACACAAGCCAAAACTCCCGTGTACATGTAGGATAGTGACAAGAGAAGCCTATTCTAGAAGCATGTGCCCCCTCTAAAGCAGACCGGCGACCGGTGGGCCCACAGGCCATATAAGGCCCGCAGTCATTTGGTCTGGGCCTGCAAGGCGCTGGGGGGGAGCTAATTAAACGTTTGACCCAATACAGCAGGCTAATTTTGTATACCTGCGAATGATGTCTTAAATATCCAAGTGGCCCTTAGCAGAAACAAGTTTCCCTACCCCTGCTCTAAACCATGCTTTTTTCTTTTCAGTTAATAATGTATCTTTAGAGAGCCTTCTGTGGTTTTCCTCGTCTGCCTAATGTCCCGTTATATAGGAGTGCATCATTTACTTAGCCGGCCCTCTACCTTTCGATTGTTCTCACTGATGTGCTATAAGCAGTGTTGCAGTGAGCAGCCTTGTCCAGGGATCATTTTGTATTCGTGGGGGGTGTACCTATAGACGTGGAGTGGCGGTGTTGAAGGAGGTGTGCGTTTGTAATCTCAGCAAACACTGCCTGTCTTCCCTCCCTGGAATCATCTGTGATGGCCTGTATCCCTGCATCACACACGTGACCTGTCATTCCATGTGATCCAGTGCTTCCAGCCTTCTCTTCATGACACACACTGCAGCTGGCCCAGACAGTGAGATGCGTGGGTCTTTTCTCCTTAGATGGAGGGAATGAGCAGGGCGGGCCGGAGGAGAGGCCTGGGTGCTCTCAGGATGAGCAGATGCAGAGTGGGCTGTCCTCTGAGCACTTGTCCGGCCCCCTGAGGGGTGTGTACTCTCTGGAGGCCTGTCCTTAAAGCTTTCCCCAGGCTGCAGGCTTCCCTTTCCTCTTCCCAGCCGCGTCATCTCCCCTTGGCGTCCCTGTGTTTCTTGTACGTGTTGACGAATGCAAGCCTGCGTGTTTCATTACTGTCCAACTGTCACACCCTGGAGGCAAGGCTCACGTCTAGATGCAAAATTAGGAGAAGAGGATTGGCATGTACTTTGTGCTTCTGCTGGTGACATTTTGATATTTTATTCTTATTTTTTAAACCGCATACTTATTAAAATGCCGCTAAAGGAAATTGACCTCTCACTGTTTCATCACCTTAGCATAGTTGTCTTCATTTCTTTATTACCTTCTACTCATTTCAGACATGTTTTTAACAAAATGCTAACCTAAAACACATGCTCTTCTGTATTCTCCCTTTTTCAATGTTTCCTTCATATCGACATAATCTTTATATGTCTTCATCACTAGAACAAAGTATCTTTCAATCAGTTCATTATAATTAACCCTTCAGCTCTAGCTGGTTTGGCTCAGTGGATAGAGCGTCGGCCTGAGGACTGAAGGATCCCGGGTTCAATTCCAGTCAAGGACATGTACCTTGGTTGCAGGCTCCCAGCCTTGGTTGGGGTTTTTGCGGGAGGCAACCAATTGATGTGTCTGTCACATCAATGTTTCTCTCTCTCTCACACTTCTACTCTCTCTAAAAGTCAATGGAAAAATGTCCTTGCATAAGAATAATAATTAAAAAAAAAGATTTTAAAAATTTTAACCCTTCAATTGTTAGATAACTTGATTATTTTTGAGTTTATACAGAGTAAATCAATATTTTTGTTCAAAATCTTTTTATTTGGTTTTAAAGTTATTTTCTTCGACTAAGTTTCCAGGGAAGGAATTTACTGAAGCAGATGGTTCAGACATTTTTTTATGGCTCTTGAGACTTACACCAAATTACATTCTGGGAGGACTGGCTGGTCTGCAGTTCCCTCAGCCTGCCTCTGCAGAATTGGGTGTTATCTTTTTGTTATTATTGCTATTGATTCAATAGGTAGAAACAATACCTCATTACTAGTAGTACATTTTTAAGAAATAATAAGTGGGGGCAATAATGTTTCCTTAGAAACATAATTTCCACTCTGAGATTTGGGCCTTTTTCCTTTATTGCCCCAGTTATAGTACGGGGAGGGGAAGGGAGGCTCCTGTGTGTTAGGTGCTTTTGTAAAGCGCCCATCCATGTGTGCTAGTGCACTGGGTGCAGCACAGGAATCTGAAGAGCCGTGCCTGCCCCGGGTGACACACTGTGTGCGGTTTGATAAAAGTGGGCAGGGGAAGGCCCTGCAAACGGCTTGGCCCTGTGATCAGGTGACCTGTGGCCAGGTGTGGCGTGTCAGGAAAGAACTCACTTAGCAAGTGGTTTTCCCTCGAAGTCTGTCTGTCCCAGGCGTCTTTTTCCATGAAGCCTCCATCGTGAGGACTCCACTTGGAGGTCCAGGGAGCACTCTGAGGCTCTGCCCGGGGCCCTGGTGATGAAGCAGTTACACTTTCCAAGGAGTGCTAGCCAGAGGTCAGCATAGGGTGGCCTATTGCCTGCTTTTGTGGGCCCATGAGCTAAGGATGGTTTTTATGTTTCCAGGTGATTGAAAAAACACACCGAAAAATGCTATTTTGTAATATGTGAAAATTACAAGAAATTCAAATTTCAGTTCCAAAAATAAAGTTTTATTGGGACACAGCCACACTCAGCCATTTACAGATTATCTGCGGCTGCTTTCTTGCTGCGGAGCAGAGTTGAGTAGTTGCAGCAGAGACCATGTGGTCCACAAACCTAAAGTATTTACTCTTGGCCCTTTATCCACCAAGTTTGCCACCCCTTAATCTAGTCTGAGAGTTTCCTAGGAGGGGGCAGGAAGAGAAAGGGTGGAGGGGATGTTTCTGACTTATTCCTAGGCTGCCCCAGTCCAGTGGAGGCCACAGGCAGGCCTCCGGGGCCAAATTCCAAGTTCCCTTTGGGCACTGTCTCCTCCCCTCCCCCACCCCAGGCAGAAGCCTCCTGATGCCCTTTGAAGACCGTGGAGACCTGGAGCCCCTGGAGCTGGTGTGGGCCAAGTGCCGAGGCTATCCCTCCTACCCTGCCTTGGTGAGTCTGCCCATGCCACCTCCCCCTCCCTGGGCGAGTCTGGCCCCTGCCTTGCCCCAGGGGCTTATCTGATTGGATCAAGCCATCCGAGTGTGGTGGGAGTCAGGGTGCCTTCCAGCCTTGGGTGGGCCAAACCAACAAGGCTCCCAGCTTGGGAAAACGGAGACGAGCTCTTAGGGATGTATTTGCTAATGCTTAAAACTAATATGTGCTCGTTATAAAAAATCCTAAAAGCTGCTAATCATGCTTAGGTGTTTTTTTAAACCTTTGTCATGCTAATTGGAATACTGAGGGAAGGTATGGTTATTTTTATTTCTGTGGGGGAAAACTGAGGATCCGTTTCTTACTCTTGTCATCTGGCTATTAAGTGGCAGGGTTGCAATTTGAGTTAGAGCTTAACATGTGTGATGCCTGTGTTCTGAGCCACTGAGTTCAAAATCACCTATAGTCCCATATGTTCAGAGATGACCTTGGTGTATATCCACTCAGTCTTTTTGTTGTTGTTGTTCAATGCATACATATGTGCATATCTAAGACCATGGTCTGTTTAACCTCCCTTTCACTTAACTGCATGTCTCATGCCTTCACTCTTCATCAATATCACATTAATGACAACATTGTCTTCAGTCCTGTGCATGTACTTACCTTATTTTAACCATTCCCTAATTGCTCATTTAAGTTGTTTTTGGATTTTTCACTGTGATAAATAACCAGCAAGAAATATTGTAGTTTTGCCTTTGTGCACATCCCTGATTATTTCTTTTCGGGGAATTCTTAGGAGTGCCTTCTTGAGGCAAAGTCAATACAAATTGCCAGGGTGCCCTTTAAAAAGTTCCAGGTTATGCTCCCACCAGCAGTAGCTAAAAATTCTATTTTTATAATTGACTTATTTCTTAGAGCTCTTTATGTATTGGGGAGGTCATGTCCATCTGGCCCTGGAAGATGCTGCTTCTGACTTTGGGGCTTGTCAGAATCGTCCAGGGGAATTTTTTAAACAATGCAGATACTGATGGTCCATCTCAGAACTACCACATTTAACTCTCTGAGGCCAGGTGGACATGACTATTTCTTAAAAGCTTCCCAGATGATTTATAGCCAAGTTTGAGAACCTCCACTAACCTCGTGCGTGCACACAGAGCTCATAAAGGAGGGTAAGATCCTTACTGGACAGGCAAGGAAATCACAGCTCCGAGGTTGTACACCTTGCGGAAGCCCCCCTGGGACCCAGGAGGCCTGCCTCCTGCCTTAGCCGTGGCAGGCGCTGGAATCCATGCTGTCATCCGCCCCCTGAGGAGGCGGGGGCCCAGGCCGTCCTCCCAGTGCCTGTGCCCTGCTGTTCCTGAGACTCCCAGCTTGGTCTCTGGAGAAGTGATCAAGGCTGCACAGGTTTTGTTGTTTTTAATGTCACTGCAAAAAAGCCACTAAAACTCATCTTTTTTTTTCTTCATAATTACCTTCTTAATGATACATTTTCTTTTGTGATCAAAGAAATTCAACCATCACCTGAATCCAGTCACCTGAACACAACCTGTGCTATTTTGGTTTATGCTCTACTGTGCTTTCCTAAATGTGTACAGTTGACCTTCGAATATGGGTTTGAGCTGTGTGGGTCCACTCACTCCTGCATTTTTTTTTTTTCTCAATACACACAGCTGGCCCTCTGTAGACCGAGGGTTCCCATCTGCAGATGCAGAGGGCTGACTGTGTGAGGGTCTTGACCGTCCTCGGATTTCGGTAACCTCAGGGTCCTGGAACCTTCCCCCATGGATACCAAGAGACAAATGTAGTTAACTTTTGAGGGAATCCGAAGCTGTACTCAGATTTCAACTGCACATGGTCATGTCTCTAACAGCCGTGCTCAAGGACCAGCTGTACTTGCATCCAGAGTGGGTATACAGTTTTTAAATTTAGGATTTTTGTAATGGTTTTTGCTTTTCTATAAAGTAATGTATCTAATTATAGTACAATAGTTTTGGGAAAATAGAGAAAAGCCATTTAAGTCCCCACTATTCTAACATGCCAACTGTAAGCACTTTGTGCTGTTCCTTCTGTTGGTTGTTTATATATTACAGCTGTAATAGCGAATGCACACATTTATTATGTTAAAGTTTATCACAAACTTTATTTCCATGTCATTTTACATCTGCATAACATTTGAATAAATGGACCGTCCTTTATTACTTGGGGGCCCATTTGCCTCAGTGGCAGCTTACCCACCTTGCTTCTGCCTTGAGGGACATTCCTCACCGTCCACCCCACCGCCCTTGACCAGCATGGCTGAGTCCAGGGGGAAACATCAGGGTAATGGAGGAAGCTCAGGAGCTTGTATGTTGGTTTCCATTGGGACCCTGAGCGTCAGTCCCAGGAGGGACAGACAGGCTGGGAGATGGGGTTTTGACCAAATCACACAGCTGAGGACGGGGTGGGTGTGGTTCGTCCTTGGAGTAAACTCTTAACCAGAGCACCTGTTTTCAGCTACTTGTCTCGAGAGGGATGTAGAGAGGCTGGCCGACACCCAGAGGTAACTAAAAACGGTTTATTGTGGAAGAGGCCCCTGGGTCAGGGCTGGAAGTTCAGATTGCTCCATCTCGGGAGAAAGCTGCTCCTTTAGTAGGTTTCCAAGTCCCTCTGGCCTCAGCACACGCAACGGCCAGCCAGTTGCTCTGGAGGAGGGGCTGTGCAGGCAGTGGGCAGCAGAGGCCCAGGCGGGTCCAGGTGCTTGGGCTCAATCCCAGCCGAGGTCTCAAGCAGCTACAACTCCTTCTGTGCTTGGCGGTTTCCTCTCGGCTAATAGCTGTCCGGACTTCTCAGCACCAGCACGAGCATGACATGAGCTGGCCATGTGTGACTAATGGTAGCTTTGTCGGTGCTCCACGGTGCTGGAGAACTGGTGGTTGATTACCGGGCATTTCACCAAGCCCCTGCCCTTGTGCCACATGCAGCCCTGAGGACTCATTAGTCCCGTGGCCCTGGTTTCAGCCACGCCATTGTTCCTTCCCAGCAACCCAAGCTCAGTCTTCCAGCTTCTCTCTTATCTCACGTGGAGGTGCCACAATGTACCTGGTCCACACACCAGCGAGTCACAGTCAGGCAAGAAGGCGGTGGGCAAGCAGAGGCTGTTAGGCTAGAACCGAAGGATGGGCCCCTGCTGACGCAGAGCCTCTTCACAGCTGGGTGTCTGGGAAGGCCTGAGCATCGAAAGTGAATTGCGGGGTTCTAAAGGAAAACCGCCTCCACCCCCTCCTCTCAGGGACCCTGGGGGGAAGGAGTCTGCCTGTCGGCGCTGGACATCAGAGGCACCCACCCCCTTGCCTCCCCGAGGCTGGGCTCCCGTCACTTCTGTTCTAGCTCCCGGCCCTGACAGTTCGGGGAGCAAGCTTCTCCCTCTGCTGAAGGACGGGGTGGGCAGGGCCAGAGGATTAGGACAGAGCTGGGGAAATAGTCTCCATTTTGGGGTACTGAGAGTCGTGGAAGAAGTCTACCTCCATCGCTTGGTTGTGGGGTGGTTAGGTGGTTATTCCTGGGGCGGGCTGCCCTGCTCACCCCGTCCACCCTGAGCTGAGTGCCATCTCCTTTCCCACCTCCAGATCATCGATCCCAAGATGCCCCGGGAGGGCCTCCTGCACAATGGTGTCCCCATCCCTGTCCCCCCACTGGATGTGCTGAAGCTGGGGGAGCAGAAACAGGCCGAGGCTGGAGAGAAGCTCTTCCTTGTCCTCTTTTTTGACAACAAGCGCACCTGGTGAGTGGGTGCTGCTGCTGGGAGGGTGCAGGGTGCAGGCTGAGTTGCTGAGAGGCGCCAGCAGCTGGCCTGCACTTGCCATGTTAGTAGTAACTTAGTGTTACTAGCAACACCGATTAGTAGTGTTAATAGTAACTGAGACCAGATTCCCTGGGAAAGCTCTGACATGGCAGTTTGATTCAGGAGGCTTACTGGGGAGAGCCGTGGGGACAGGGGACACAGCTTTGGGGGAGCTGTGGGATGAGAGACGCAGCATTGGAGGGGAGCTGTGGGATGAGGGACGGGGGAGACACAGCATTGGGGGGGAGCTGTGGGGATGAGGGACGGGGGGGACACAGCATTGGGGGGGGGCTGTGGGGATGAGGGACGGGGGGGACACAGCATTGGGGGGGAGCTGTGGGATGAGGGACGTGAGGAACGCAGCATTGGGGGAGCTGTGGGATGAGGGACACAGCATTGGGGGGGAGCTGTGGGATGAGGGACGCAGCATTGGGGGGGAGCTGTGGGGATGAGGGACGCAGCATTGGGGGAGCTGTGGGGATGAGGGACGCAGCATTGGGGGGGAGCTGTGGGGATGAGGGACGGGGGAGACAACATTGGGGGGGAGCTGTGGGATGAGGGACGCAGCATTGGGGGGAGCTGTGGGGATGAGGGACGGGGGGGACACAGCATTGGGAGAAGAAAATATTGAACTGCATGCAATGCTCTTGCCCTGGAGGCTTCAGCTGACCTTATGGGGAGCTCTGGAGCTGGGCGGCTCGGTAGCCATGTCAGAAATTGAGGCTGTGCCTTTGTACCCACAAGCCAACTAGACATTGAGTGCTGGCTGCCCCTGGGCAGGGAGGGACCTTGGGCAGGCAGCTCCCACGTGGTAGGTGATTTCTGGAGAGAACCCAGCGGAGAGCTCGTAGCTGCCGGACTCCCAGTGGCTGCAGGAACTCTGTTTCGGTCCTGGGTCAGGGGCTGGTCATGCTGTTGGTTGCACTTCAGGCTTCTCTCAGCACCAGCAGGAGCTTCACCTTCGCTTCCACAGAATGAGGCAGTAGGAGGAGCTAGTGAGAGTGATAATAATGATGAATATAGCTGCCATGTATGTGATTCCTCAGTGTCCTTAATGTGAATTACTTTGCATTTGTCCTCATTTATACAGAGGAGGAAAGCCAGGGCTCCACAGTCTAACTAAGACACAAACCACAGGTTGGAGTCACCTGGTGATATATTTTTAAAAAGTACCAGGTTCAGGCCCCCAGGGATCAGTTGATTAATGCTGGCATCAGTCCCACTTCCTAGCAGAACTCCCCGATTCTGCAAGGGCGAGCCTGGAGCCCTCCGATGGCCCCACCAGGTCCAGAGGCAGCACTGGGCCGTCCTGGCTCTTGCCCTGACTACCTCCTGAGCAGAGGGGGCTGACTGCAAAAACAGGTCCCCTGGTGGCCTTTCTGAGGCGTCCCAGTCTGCTTCCCTCTGCCTGTCCCTTCCCTACTGTGTGCTGGTCCTGGGCACACAGGCGCTGAGGGCACCCTCGTGGGACCCACTCACCAAGGCCCGGGCATCTTACTGTTACTGTGTTTTAGGCAGTGGCTTCCGAGAGACAAAGTCCTGCCCCTGGGCGTGGAGGACACCGTGGACAAGCTCAAGATGCTGGAAGGTCGCAAGACTAGCATCCGCAAGTCGGTGCAGGTGGCCTACGACCGAGCAATGATCCACCTGAGCCGTGTCCGCGGGCCCCACTCCTTCGTCCCCTCCAGCTACCTGTAAGGGCGGGCCGCCCTGCCTCTGTCCCCTTCACAGCAGGCCGGGGGCTGCCTGGGCTGGGGCCCCAGTTTTGACAAACTGCATGGTCCCCTGTTGGGCCTACTGTGTGCCAAAAACTCCCACCTGAGCTCCCTCAGGGGCTGGTCCACTGAAGAACCAGTTAGAAGTAGAAGCAGCTGGGAGGCCCAGCAAGGAGAGGGACCTGGCCTCAGACGCAGGGGTCCCCTGCTCTTCAGGGTGTGCGACCCCTCCACCCCACTCCCAGGTAACCACACCTCAGGTGAGCGAGGCGCTGACATTGACCCCAGAGGTGCTGTGGGTACACTCGGGTCCCGTGGGGAATGTCAGTGTGCTCACCCTCCCCCCCAAATCCTCCAATCACCCATTCTCACACCTCTTCCCTGTCCCGCCTGCACCCTCCGCCCAGTCTTTCCCCTCTTCCTTTCCTTTCTCTTGTGCCAAACTGACAGAAACCATTACCAAATCGGTCTTTGTGTTTCCCTTTGAGGCCAGCTGCTATGCTAGGTGGGTGCCTCCGCCTGGCTCCTCAGGTCCCAGAACAGAGGCCAGCCTGCCACTCGGGTGACCCCTCCACCAGCACATGCTCCCTGCCCCCCCCCCCCAGCTCCCCCTCCCGCTGACCCTTTCGTCTGCAGACACCCACCTGGGAGAGCTTCCCTCTGGATTGAGGGGGCCTCCTGCCCTCGTCCTGTCTGGCCAAGAGGCAGGTTGAGGCTAAGGCTGCGGCTTGTTGAGGTTGAACCCTCTGCCCTTCCTTCTTCCTCTCTGTCCCTGGGGCCTCTTCTAGTTTCCTGCAGCGGCGGCCTCCTGCCCGTCCACCCCGCGGACGGCATGGTGCCTGCAGTGCAGCGTCTTCCGGCCCTGCCCAGCCTGCCACCCACTTCCCAATCCCGGGAAGCCTGCACTTTTATTTCAGACCCTCTGCCCTCCCTCTTTCTCCTCCACCCCTCCCACCACCACCTTCTCAAAAACGGAAGGAAAAAAGCTGTGAAATGGGAAGCTGACTGACAAAGCAGGAGTTGCAGAGGCTCCGATGTTCTCGGGTGTTTCCTCTCACCTCTTAGGCACCAAAGTCTCGGGCCAGGTGCAGGCCGCCGATCGCCATGTTGATTTTCCCCCCCCGACGTTCTTTTTCATTGTTTTGAATTTTTCATAGGGGAGTTTTGGACAAAACGAAGTCACTGGGGAGATTACTGCCATTTTTACACACACGAGTTTTTAAAAATACAATCAACCAACCACCACAACTTCTTATACATTTCGGACACGAGCCAGAGTCTTAAATGGAAGCAACAGAACCAGAACACAAAGGATGGGGTTGGTTTTGTACAATACTCAAAATACAACGCAGCCCATGGCGAGGGAAGGACACGGTGTACATAATTGTAAAATACTGCTCTAAATTATTCAGGCCTATAGTTCCCATGACTAGTCCTCCATTGTGTGGCTGAGTATTTAAGTGCACACAGTGTGGTATTTAAGGAGCCAGTGCACCCCTCTCCCCAGGTAGTCAGTCGGCTGTGGACTCTGTGACCTTCGTCTCAACCTGTGTTGTAAGATCTCGGGGCTTTCTCTATTTCTCCTCTTTCTGTGTGTATCTCCTCTCCCTCTCTCTCTCTCTCTCTCTCCCCCCCCCCCCTCTCTCTCTCTCTCTCTCTCTCTCTCTGAGTCTCATTTTGAAGACGGCGCTTTTGGAATGGGAAACGCTCAGATCCTGCTGTGACGTGGGGCCTGCGTGCCTCAGTCGCATCTGCTGTGAAGCACACGATGCTCTATTTATTGTATTGTAGAAAGTGACTTTATTTGCTTTCTAGAATTGTTTATAACAGATGGTATAAGAGAGGTAATAAACAGAAAATCTATGCTTGTAAAGGGTACAAAAGTTAATTTTACCTACTATAATATGACTGTCTGAAATTATTTTCTCTCTGAGAAATAAATGTTCTAATGGGCAGCAGTTGCCGGGTCGCTCTTGGTGTCTTCTGTGGGCGGCTGTACCTCTCTCCTGAGCTCCTCCAGCCCCCTCCTCAGGCCAGGGCCGTCAAGAATGGAGTTGTCTAGCCCGGCTGATATAGGTGCAGAGGGCTGTGTGGCTGGGTATTGTTGCTTTAGATACAACCTTACATATAGTAATTAAGGTGCACAAGCCTACGTTTAAACTCCATGAATTTTTACGTGTGTATACATCCAGGAACCCACTGCCCAGCTCACAGTACAGAGCACGCCCTGTGCCCCAGGGGAACTGCTGCCTGGAGTTCTGTGGGTACTGAGCAGGGTGCCCGGTTCTGACCCTCAGGCGATGGAATCCCGCAGGGTGTGCTCTTCCTGTCCGGCTTCTTCCATGCAGCACCCTGTCTCTGAACGCCTCCCGTTTTGCATGTCACTGCAGTGTGTCCTGGACTGCCGAGTAGCCGCACATGTATAAGCACCTTGGAGTTCGTTGAACCAGTCTGGCTGGGGCTGTGGTGAACAGCCTGCTGTGGACATTCTTGTCCGTGTGCTATGATGGACACAGGGATGTCTTCAGGGCATCCCCAGGAGCAGAACTGCCAGGCCATGGGACAGGTGTGTGTTCAGCCCAGCAGACTCTGCCAATAGCTTCCCACCCGCTGCACAACTCGCACCCACAGCCGGCTGTGCATGACCACCGGCTGCACAACTCACACCCACGGCCGGCTGTGCACGACCACCGGCTGCACAACTCCCACCCCACGGCCGGCTGTGCGCGACCACCGGCTGCACAACTCCCACCCCATGGCTGGCTGTGCGCGTCCAGCGGCTCCACTAACTCACCAACACTAGTGTGTCCAGCCCCCGGCATTTGCTCCAGACCTGCTCATCGAACGGCTCCTCTAAGCCCCCTCATACAGCTCGGCTTCTCTCTTCCTTAGTAACAGCCCTGGCCCCTGGAGTGTGTTATGAACCGAAGGTGCTTTCCAATGGGGGAGCCCCCCTCGGAGGGGGCGGAGGGGACGGGAGAGCTCCCCCGTCCCCTCAGCGCTGCCTCCAGGCCCCTCACTGGCTCCGAGGGGAATAAGGTAGTTCTTAGCGGGAATAACAACCCTCCTGGCCCCTCCATCGCTGGCCAGCGGGCTGGGGCCGCTCTCTTCCACAGCCCAGCCCCACCTGGTCCTGAGGCCTCCTCCCAGCAGAGCAGCAGCACCCCTGCTCCTGGCTCCGTCCTGCCCTGCCGCCGGCTGGTGCCTCAGGACCCATGGGCATCTGCCTGTGCCTCTCAAGGCCATGGTCCTTGGGGCCATGCCTGTGACCTGCTTTCCTTTGAGTCACGGGTGTGAAAAGAATGTGGGGCAGCAGAGCAAGGACCCCGAGTCCTTGAGGGGAGGATGAGAAAGGATGAAAGGGCCCGGCTGGCTGACCTCGGCGACTCAGGCACATGTCCGTCATGGGGATGAAGGCTCAGAGGACTCTGAAGCGATGCCAGAGGAGTTGCTCAGATCCCGGTGGGGGGAGGTCTGAGATAAGAAGGCAGGGTCAGGGAAAGCCCGCCAGCCCGTCTGGGAACAAAGGGCTGCAGAGCCATCCCCGGCAGCTGCTGGACGCTGGCCCCATCCTTGGCATCCTCGGGTCAGATCTGGCCTGGGGGACACAAGGCCCAGATCCTGGCGGCTGGAGGGACCCCTGGCTCCGCTTAATACTGAGCAGATGAAATACCCTCCTTTCTATCCCTCCCCAGAGCACGTGCCCTTCTTCCTTTAAAGTCCTGCCACGTGTTTACACACGTTTACATCACCATATAGAAGTCTAGTGTGGTCTCACCTTTCTGGATTTTGAAGAGAAGAAAGTGTCTACTGCATGAATTCTTCTACAACTTCCTTTTACCCCCCCCCCCCCCCCACACACACACACACAATTCAGGCATGCTGGTGTTCGGCTGCGGTTAGCTCATTTTCACTCCAGTATGGAGTTCCTTGCACTAAGATTGCACGTTTAATATTTTGTTGTACTGTTTAAGGACATTTGGGTAGCTTCCAATATTTGCTTCTAGAAACGGTGCTAGTGTGAATTTTTTTTTTCTTTTCAATTACAGTTGACATTCAATATTATAGTAGTTTCAGGTGTACAGTGCAGCAGTTAAACATTTATATAACTTACAAAGTAATCCCGATAAGTCAAGTACTCACCTGGCACCATACACAGTTATTATAATACTAGAGGTCCGGTGCACGAAATTCATGCATGGGGGAGAGGGGGTGTTGTTCCTTAGCCCAGTCTGCACCCTCTCCAATCCGAGACTGCTGGCTCCCAACTACTTGCCTGCTTGCCTTCCTAATTGCCATAACTGCTTCTGTCTGCCAGCCTGATTACCCCCTAACCACTCCCCTGACAGCCTGATTGATGCCTAATTGCTCCCCTTCAGACCTGGTTACTCCTAACTGCCCTCCCCTTCAGGCCTGGTCAACCCTAACTGCTCTTCCCTGAATGCCTGGTCACCCCTAACTGCCCGTCCCTGCTGGCCTGGTCCCTCCAAACTGCTCTCCCTTGTAGGCCTGGGTCCCCCCCAACTGCCCTTCTCGGCAGGCCCAGTCGTCCCCAATTTCTCTCCTCTGCTAGCCTGGTTACCCCTAACTGCCTCCCCTGCATGCTTGATCACCCCTGACTGCCCTCCCTTGCAGGCCTGCTCCATCCCCACTGCCCTCCCCTGCTGGCCATCTTGTCATGGCCATCTTGTGTCCACATGGGGGCAGCCATTTTGTGTGTTGGAGTAATGGTCAATTTGCATATTACTTTTATTAGATAGGATTGACTATATTCTCTCAGCTATACTTTACATCTTTGTCACTGCCAATTTGTACTTCTTAATCCCTTCACCATTTTCACTTAGCCCCCTAACCCTCCCATCTGGCAATATCAATCTGTTCTCTGTGTCTATTTTGATTATTCATTTATTTTTATTTTTTGGACTAAAGGCCCATTGCACAATATTCATGTATTGTGCATTGCAAGGTGGATGGGGGTACCTCAGCCTGGCCTGTATCCTTTCCAATCTGGGACATCCCTCTCACAATCTAGGATTGCTGGCTCCCAATTGCTCACCCGCCTGCCTGCCTGATCGCCCCTAACCCCTCTGCCTTCCTGCCTGATTGCCCCTAACCACTCTTCCTGCCTTCCTGATTGCCCCAACTGCCTCTGTCCGCTGGCCTGATTGCCTCCAACTGCTCTCCCCTGCCAGCCTGATCATCCCTAACCACCTCTGCCTCAGCCCCTGACACCGTGGCTTTGTCCAGAAGAACGTCCAGAAGATGTCCAGTCTATCTGGTCTAATTAGCATATTACCCTTTTATTAGTATAGATTACATATATAAGTAAAATCATATGGTACTTGTCTTTCTTGCACATTTTCACTTAGTATAATACCCTCTAGGTCCATCCATGTTGCTGCATATGGTAAGATTTTATTCTTCTTACTTTAAAAAAATTATTTTTAATCCTCACCTGAGTATATGCTTTTTTTTTTTTTTTTTTTTTTTACTGGTTTTAGAGAAGTGGGGGGAGAAGAGAGAGAAAGGAACATCAGTGTATGAGAAAAACACCAACCAGCTGTCTCCTGTACTCACCATGACTAGGATGAAACCAGTAACCTTTAGGTGCAGCGGTTGCCAACCTTTCGGACCCCATGGACCGCCAGTCGGTGACCTCTATTTTTGTGCACAGGATGATGCAACCGAGCTGCACACTGGCCAGAGCAAGAGTTCTTTTTTTATGTTCAAGTGATGTTCCATTGTGTAGATGTACCATCTCTTCTCCATCCAATCAGCTATCGATGGCACTTAGGTTGCTTCCATATCTTGGCTATGGTATAAGGAAATATACCATATGTGGCTCTTGTTAAAGCCTCTGTTTTAAAGTCTATTTTGTCTGACATAAATATTGCTACCTCAGCTTTTTTTGTTTGTTTGTTTCTATTTGCATGAAATATATTTTTCCATCTCTTTATTTTCAGTCTGTGTGTGCCTTTCAATCTGAAGTGGGTCTTTTTTAGGCAGCATATGTGTGGGTCTTGTTTCCTTATCCATTCAGCTACTCTATGTCTTTTGATTAGAGCATTTAATGCATTTCGTTTAAAGTAATTAGTTATTGCTATTGTATTATTCATATTTTAAATTTTCTTTTCTTCTTCTTGTAATACTGGTTTGGTGTTGATGAACTCCTTTTGCTTTTTCATGTCTGGGAAGCTCTTTATCTGTTCCTTTGACTCTAAATGAGAGCATTGCTGGGTCAAGTAGTTCTGGTTGTAGGTCCTTGCTTTTCATTACTTCGAATATTTCATGCCAATCCCTTTTGTCCTGGAATGTTTCTGTTTTGCAATCAACTGACAGTCATATGGAAAAACTCCTTTGAAGATAACTGTCTCTCTAGCTGATTTTAAGATTATCTCTTTGTCTTTAACCTTTGGCATTTTAATTATGATGTGTATTGGTGTGGGACTCTTTGGGTTCATTTTGTTTGGGACTTTCTGTGCTTCCTGGACTTGTATGTCTATTTCCTTCACCAGGTTAGGGGAAGTTTTCAGTCATTATTTTTTTTTCAAATAGGTTTTCAGCCCTTTGTTCTCTCTTGTCCCGCTATAATGTGAATGTTCTTACACTTGATGTCCAGAGGTCCCTTAGACAATCCTAATTTTTTGAAATTCTTTTTTCTTTTTGCTGTTCTGATTGGGTGTTTTCTGCTACCTTTTCTCCAAAATTGCTGATTCAATTCTCTAATTGAATCTAATCTTCTTTTGACTCTACCTAGTGTATTCTGCTTCATCTAATCTTCTTTTGACTCTACCTAGTGTATTCTTCATTTTAGCTATTGTATTATTCATTTCTGACTGGTTCTTTTTTATGGCTTCTATCTCTTTGTGTAAGTTCTCTTTGAGTTTACCTGTTCTTCCCCTAAGTTCACTGAGCATCCTTATGTCGGTATTTTGAACTCAGCATCTAGTAAATTGCT